ACTTCAATTAGAAAACACATACTATATTTGAAACTTTAACCTTATCTATAAAATACACATAAGCTGAACTATTTTCTACATCGATAGAATCACATAAAATATCGTATTTATTATGATGATTATTATTCCCTTTGTATTTCATATACAATTAAAGCCATTGGACTAATACAATACAGTAACTTGTTACATAATTTATTAGTTCAATTTACTAATTTTATCACGTATCATTCAATTGTATTTTTATTGATTATAAAAATAGTATTAAACCACTAAAATATAATAATAATAATAATAATAATAATAATAATAATAAAGTAAAATAAACAATGCAACAAAAAAATAATATTATGTCCTTTATATTAAATACATAATTCAATTGTTTAATTGTAATGTATACCACTTTTTTTTCTAGTTAGATGTACAATTTAATATATTAACTGTTATTTATTTTATTCAACTTGTTAAATGAATATTAAAATGTAAATAATTAATAACTTGAATAAAGGTCATTTTATTGTTCTGATTATGATAATAATTATAAATGAATGAATAATTGATTGAATCATTAGATAATGAACTAATTATTATTGATTGATTGATACTTTGAATTCAGTGATTGTTTTTGCATTAATTTGAGTGAAATGAAATGGAATGAGTATACTTTTATTGATTTGTATACTTTATTTTTCTATCGACCAGTTAAACTATTATAAATATGAACGAGATCATTATATATGTTTAATAATTTGTGTTATATGAAATATGTTATGTAAATGTACATGTATCTTGGCGAATTTTAGTAATTTCAACGAAAACTTAACCTTACAACTACATATAGAAGATACCTTCACATGATGCTAAAACTCACAAGAAATTTAAAAAATATATATCTTGAATTATTTTCAATTATCCAGAGATGTGGGAATAACTTTCAGTAGAATTTAATAGCAAATTTATTTACATTTTCCTAGTACCTAATTTGTTATGTACCTAAATTTTAATTGTGCTGTTTATTGTGAGGTCTTCGGTTCGATTACGAAGCTTTTTTAGTTGTTCTGGACAATGTCATTAGCGGTTTTTTCTGATTGAAGTATCCGAGAGGGAGAGAGAGAACATCACGCAATCGAAAGCATCCATCTTAGCTATCTTCACCATTCCAAAATATATGAGTAGTGCATACTTCTACTAGGCTTATAATCTTTTCAAGATCAGTCAATAATTCCAAAGTCAATGGTAATCTTCTAAAAACACTTTACCATTTATATATGTTTCAAGTTGAGTTACTATTTGTCTAGATGTAGTTACATCAAAAGGTAAAAGGAAGTCATTTAGTGATACACGATAACTAAATATATTCACTGGATTGTAATCTGTTAAATTTAAATAATTAGTCTTTAATGTTCCAGAATTTTTTGAAGTATAGTATAAAATCAAAGCAAAATAAATCATTTATGGTTCATGACTGTAATACAGGACTATTCAACCGAACATCAACAATGGTGACAAAATGATGACACAAAAAATAACAATACTGCCATTTATTGAAGGTAATTAAATCAACCAAGATAGTGTACCACACTTTACGGAATTTCTACTATTTTGTTTCTAATCTGATGGCCTAAAATTTATTTACTACTGGACAGTTTTAGAACAGACAACCGAATAAAAACTGCTTCATCGAACTATTTTATAAATATTTCTTTCTCTTTTTCTCTTCCCTGCTCCTTGAGAAGATCCTGTGATTGTGAATTGACTATTTCATTATTCCTTTGCGTAAATAAATAATCATTTAATACTTTAATAGAATATCTATTTCCAGAAATGGTGCCGTTTATTTTTTCTGTATGAAAATAAACACTGCTATAATCGTCATCATCATCAGCTTTATTGTCTAAGGTCGAAAATAATCGGTCAAAGAAAATAAACAAATAAATTGATCGATATACATATCGTTGCCATTATTGAGGTTATCAGATGTACGCGCGCACTCGTACTAACGTTAACTTTTGGGTGTGTGCGTGTGTCACTAAATCATGTCAATTAAGAAGTACTTTGTGACCTTGATGCTCAGGATACTAATGATGACGATAATGATGGTATTTAGAAGTCTAGAAAAACACTGATGTATGTGTGGGTAGAAAGATGCATTATAAGGAAACAATCGATATATGATTCAGAAATTTCATAGTTTATTTTTCTACCTCTCACTTGTGTTGTTTGTCTTTATTACCTTACACTATGTTTTTTTGTCACTAATGTTTGTAGGCGTTGTCGTCCGTTAAACTTACTACTGTTAAAATTGTTTTATCCGTTTAATTTAACGATTCTTAGACAATACAAAAAAGGAAGTATTTACATAATATGACAAGGTTAATAGATTGAAATGTGTTTTTATTGCGATCTAACACCAGTTCACGAATCTTTAGAGAAAAGAAAAAGCTGGTCTCTAATTTCATATCAGTTTACAAATAAAATAAAATAAAAATGTCGAAATAAGCATCCAGATCGTAAAGAGTTTGGAGTACAGACAAATAAGTAATTTAGTGTTCTTTATTTGTCAGAAGTCAGTTAGTCACAGACAACGTAGAACCTGGAACATATATGCATTGATTCAAGTTACCACGCTATATCAGAACAATAAGATGAATTCCAGAGTCGTAGGAGTAGTATCAGTATTAGTGATAGTAGAAACATTAAACACATACAATATGGTTCGAGATGGAAGAATAAATTCACAGAATAAAAGTTATGAGTTAATTGTAAAACTCGAAATGTAAAGGAATACAGAACTTTGGTGCATTTGAGCTATTGAGAACGATTCTGATCCGTGTTACAAAACGTCTCCGATCGTCAGTTACAATAATTTCCCAAACACCATTCAAGTAGTCTGATTTGTTACTCATTTACTATATTGCCTAGACCCCTATACCTTACCTCAGCATTCCTTACTCGATGGTCCAACATACACCATGAAATCTTCGAAGGTATCTGTGATCATCTACTAGTAATCTGCGTTTAACCTTCGTTTTAAATGTCTAGTTTCACATCCATGGAATAGAACAGAGCGAGCAACTACACTGTATACTCGACCCTTATTTATCAGACAGAAATTTCTCCTAAGCTATATTTGACCCAGGCTAGCGAAAGCCAAATGAGCTTCTAAGTTCGTGTTGAGATTTCGTCATACACTAATCCATTAGGAATGGTGAGATTCCTAAGATAAGTACAGTGGCTGACACACTCAACTACTTCTTTTCCTGTCATTATTTTAGGCTTTGATGCATACCAGTCCTGAAGCAACGTTTGGCATCTAGAGGGACAGAAACCCATGCCCAATATAGTTACATTGTCAGTTAAAGCGTATATAAGACTCAAGATTTTGTCAACGTTTTCACCAAGCAGGACTATGTCTATTGTAGATTGTACCCTAGTAGGAAAAATCTCCTGGCAGATCTATTATTTATAAGTCAGATGACGAAAACGCTATCAATAAAAGAATGGCTACGCCGAAGTTAAATAAGAATGGAGAAAGTGGGCAACTATGACAAACACTTATGATTGTCAGTACTACTTCACGTAATATTAAGTTATGGTGATAAAAGTAATATATATTGGCACGAAGAATGTTTCATCAAAATCTAGCTAAATGAAAGAAACTAATTCCTCCTAAACAAAACTATCTACATGTCTATGCTCTCTTTCGTACCTGTGTTTCCAGTCTGCTTATCTATTGATCAATGCGTTCTCCAGTCAACTGAAGTTATTTGGTTTACATGTTAATCTAAATGGCTTAACAGTATATCATTGATTATCCTGTTTCATTTAAAGTATCATGAAATGTTTGCAACCATGTCATACTTCTTCAGTCTCAATTCAAATGATTCTTTTAAATATGGTCGAGGACCTATAAACAATTCACTTGTGCAATAAGAAGTTGATTAAGAATGAAATCAAATGACGTTTGGTTAATCAAAAAACATTTGAAATGGGAAAAGTTCAAAAGTTATTAAGTGGTTAAAGTAATCCGAAAGATGCTTTATGATCCCATGAGTTGTTTGAATGAACTAATGATACCATTGTACTTGTTGAATGCTTGGTTTCGAATTCTAAATACAGTACATTCGTTTGTGGTTATCTAGTACTTCTTGATCTGATTACGTTATTTCTGGAATTCTTAGTTCATACTATAATTCAAATACTCCTAATTATCATATCCCGGCATCATTATAGGTAATACTCATCAACCACAAGTAGCTGTAATCACGAAAGAATAGTTCAATTTTGAATCAATTAATTAGTATTGACACATTCAACATGATATTTCACAGTCTAAGCTCAATACAGTTAACGGTTGAGTATTTTACATTTTGAATAAGATTTAAGAACAGTGAAACAACTTTTTGACTCATTTTGAATTTCTGTCATTATAAAAAACTAGTTAATTTTTAATTCAAAGGAGATCTATATAAAATATGCACTTTATATTGTCCTTTGTTCTTTTGAGGTGTCTGTAAAATTGGTTGTTTTGTTTCTATCTAAAATCATTTAAACATGTAAATACACCCATACTTATTATTTAGTTCGAATGGTAAGAGTTGTCGTGTCAACCTACAGATAAAGAAAAATCAATAATAATTGAAATTAAACTACTATAATTTCCAATTAATCAATTGACCTCTGATTTATAAATGATCTTTATTTTGAATTTAACTGAATTAAAAATCTTTTATATTAGTTCATTCATTTGTAATAGTTCATTGTGATGATACTTAATAATAGTGAAATTAGCTTTTACTTTACTATTTATATTTCAGTGTCATTTCAGTAATTTAATCTTTCATCAATCTAAGTTCCAAGAAATTGGTTCTTATTTTCGTTTGAGTGGTTCTTATTTGTTCAGAAATCACTTTGAATTTCTAGCTTAATTTGTATACAAAAATATATAATTAGAGAATCGGAAAAAAAGAATGAAACTCGTTTAACAAATTCCCTTAGCTACTATGACTATTACTACTACTACTACTACTACTACTACTACTACTACTACTACTACTACTACTACTACTACTACTACTACTACTACTACTACTACTACTACTACTACTACTACTACTACTACTACTACTACTACTACTACTACTACTACTACTACTACTACTACTACTACTACTACTACTACTACTACTACTACTACTACTACTACTACTACTACTACTACTACTACTACTACTACTACTACTACTACTACTACTACTACTACTACTACTACTACTACTACTACTACTACTACTACTACTACTACTACTACTACTACTACTACTACTACTACTACTACTACTACTACTACTACTACTACTACTACTACTACTACTACTACTACTACTACTACTACTACTACTACTACTACTACTACTACTACTACTACTACTACTACTACTACTACTACTACTACTACTACTACTACTACTACTACTACTACTACTACTACTACTACTACTACTACTACTACTACTACTACTACTACTACTACTACTACTACTACTACTACTACTACTACTACTACTACTACTACTACTACTACTACTACTACTACTACTACTACTACTACTACTACTACTACTACTACTACTACTACTACTACTACTACTACTACTACTACTACTACTACTACTACTACTACTACTACTACTACTACTACTACTACTACTACTACTACTACTACTACTACTACTACTACTACTACTACTACTACTACTACTACTACTACTACTACTACTACTACTACTACTACTACTACTACTACTACTACTACTACTACTACTACTACTACTACTACTACTACTACTACTACTACTACTACTACTACTACTACTACTACTACTACTACTACTACTACTACTACTACTACTACTACTACTACTACTACTACTACTACTACTACTACTACTACTACTACTACTACTACTACTACTACTACTACTACTACTACTACTACTACTACTACTACTACTACTACTACTACTACTACTACTACTACTACTACTACTACTACTACTACTACTACTACTACTACTACTACTACTACTACTACTACTACTACTACTACTACTACTACTACTACTACTACTACTACTACTACTACTACTACTACTACTACTACTACTACTACTACTACTACTACTACTACTACTACTACTACTACTACTACTACTACTACTACTACTACTACTACTACTACTACTACTACTACTACTACTACTACTACTACTACTACTACTACTACTACTACTACTACTACTACTACTACTACTACTACTACTACTACTACTACTACTACTACTACTACTACTACTACTACTACTACTACTACTACTACTACTACTACTACTACTACTACTACTACTACTACTACTACTACTACTACTACTACTACTACTACTACTACTACTCAAATAACGTAGGTCTATCGGCTTATTTTGATATATTGAAAAGTCTATATAGTATTCTATATCAATTCGGTTATGTAATCTATTTTTTTGAACGTTTTATTTCTCTTATTTAATGAAATTTGTTATTAGAGTTTTCTACAATTTTATCACCATTAGTAAGGGTTTGACTTATCCCACTTTTGATGTTCAGGAAAGAATTTTGAAAATTATTTGCTAGTGAATGTGTATCAAATGAGGATTGTCTCTACAGTTGATGAAAATCGAATCTTGGATTTCACTGCTAGCTGTTGTCGATCTGTTGTTACATAAATTGTGACAATCCATACAAGATGTATACATTTCAACAAAGGTTAATGAAAATGCAGTCTAGAATAATAACAATGGGATAACTCTAACCTTTACTTATAATGATATAAATAAATTGCTCGTTGAACAAATTAGTAGCTATCTAGACTCAGAAAGTCAGTGGACAACAAGTTAGAGTTTAAAGTAAAAGCCGCTGAGTTGGAGTCTGAATAGAAGCGCTAACACTGTGGTACAGCTCCATTTAGCTGACGAGTTCCCAATGGGAGTAAAATCGCATCCTGGATTCCATTTACAGCTACAGTCCTTCGATTCAAAAGTATTACAATTTATTTTCTACATATAGTTACTAGATTTCATACAACTAAGAGTCACTGATAACTTAAAAATAGAACAATCAGACTCGCAGAATAAATTGAACTCATTTTATTTTACGGCTTCTCATCAGCTGCATACGATCTACATCATTACTTCGTAATAGATAAAAAAAACATACACTTAATGTTCTATTCCTCTTTTTATTATTATGATTCCGGTTATGTTTCAAGCATTTATCTAAACTTCACAAATTAAAGTTTGTTAAACATTAATTAATAATTATATTATTAATTGTTATTTTAGGTTGCATTTAGCTGAAGCGAAGTTGTGGATTAGAATGAATCCACGTCCTTCAGTAAACATTGTTTTTGTTGCCTTATTTAAATTATAATTACTACAATTCAATCGAAAAATTCAGTTAGTATTGCTAATCATTGAATTCTTACATGAAGTTCATACATAACTCAGTTGTAAAAGCACTATTTGAAGCAAATCATACGTCACTAGGGTTTCCAAAAAGATAATAATATTTTCCACTTGTTTCTTCTCGTTTGATGACATTTTAAGAAATACAAAACTCTGAATCTATCAATCGGAAAGTGAAAAAAATTGACGAGAATTAAACGAGTTAATAGAACACTTGATAGTGACTCAGCTAAGATGAATATATAGTGTCAACTTAATCCGAATAAAGTTGCCTTGTACAGGACTTTTGAACTAATCTTAAATATTTCATTTTTATTTCGTTGACGATTAATACCAACAGAAGTAATGTAACAGTTTTCGATAGTTTCCTTCAAATGATCTTCCTTACAAATGTAATTTTTCGGTTGTGTTGAAATCATTCACTTGTGTGTTTCATTGTGAAGCATTCGTTATCAATATGGACAATATCATTATTACCTACTTCAAGCAGAAGAAAACGTTTTGCAACTATTACACAAGTACAGGTTCAAACTGTTCTAATTAATGACTGTGTTTACCATTAGCTATCTTCATATATTTCGCGTAACTTTACAATGGAATTTCAGCTAGAATCCAAGTGGTAAATTGTTTCAAAAACGCCATGTCCTATAATATCCAACTTCAGCTAACTTGTGACTAAGTACAGATATTTTCACTGTTTCAGTGAACTGGAAAAATAAAATTCCCAATAACTTAGGATTAGTCAGATAAATCTCATCGAAGATTCAATAGCTTTTTTTATACAAACATCAAATTATTAATGAACAAACAAAAATTATTAGCTAATACATGAGAGAAAACTATAAGAGCAGTTTAAATAACATTTCGTCAATCTCAATGGAGTTAGACATTAACACTATTTGATGCCAGCTCAGTGGTCTAGAGGTTAAGCGTTCGCATGCAAGACCGAAAGTCCTGTCTTCAAGTCCCGTGTTCAGGATCGAGTATGCGCACTGATGAATCCCATACTAGAACGAAACGGCTGTCCAATGCTTCCAAGTTTTCAACGGTGGTCCACCTTTAATCGATTAATTAATTCAACTACCAAAAAAATGTTGTTCTGTATAACATTGAACTTTATTTTGACATTTGAGCTAGTATTTTCATCAACACAACTGGTAAAGACAGTTTTGATCCTGCAATTTTTATGATTTTGCTTTGTGAATTGAAACAGTTAAATTGTAAGTTTCTATTCAGTCTGTGGTGTGTGCTACCGATGTCGACGGATATAAGTACTATGTATCATCAGTCGAAAGTGGAATGCCTGGTGGCAGAAGGTTAAGAAGATCGAAGAAAAGAGAACTACGATAGTGAGCGATTGGTATGGAAACGAAGAAACAACAAAATCTGAGACAGTTAATTGATATTTTGCAAATGAAGTGTTTACTGTACGGTTCGCAAATTTTATCGAGATGTTATGTAATTTTGCTCTAAAATATATTCGGTTGTCCACACTTGTGTTCTCGTTCACTACAAGTGTATTGGGATTTAATCAGAATACAATGCCTCCAACCGAAATCACCATATTCATTTAAGATATAATGGATTTTTTGATTGGTTTTCTGATTAAATTATCATTTACTTTATCAGTTGGTCATGGAGATTAGTTTAGTTTTGAGAAGAAAATTTAAAAGTGGAGGGAAACGTTTACAATGATTTTCCAGTTAAATTCATAACCTAATAAAAATATTCTATAAAGTTAAATTATCTTTCAAACTGTTATAACATTAACAACGGGAGATGAAATATCAACTAGAAATATAACGATATATCAAGCACTGCCTACCGGTGCGATTGTATGCACAACTTGTCACGTAATAAATATCCAATTATTTCAAAGACTTAACAGTCTAATTTGAGTGCTTCAATCTCACTTGATAAGTTAAAAAATTGGTATCATCAATGAAAATTGTTTATCGGAATTGATGTACATTAAATATCAATCCATTATGCTGATTAACCTTTCTATATATGATTCATAAACTAGCTATTTCTATAGCCAATACAGTTAATTGGTTTCAAACTTAAGTAAAAAAAAGAATGTATATTTGTTGATCTTATGAATCAGTTCATTTAATGAGATTGAAAGATCCATTCATATTTGTTTAATAAAACATTGGTTAGAAACCTAAACTTTAATTGCTTTAATCAAAGAATACTTGATCATGTAAATACTCTAAACTATGATCATATGATCATACTTCTATTGAACACTGGAACAAAGGCTGGTTATCCTCAAACCAAAAAAGACGAATAACTTATGATAATTTCTAAGACTTTTGATGAACAGACTGAAACCGACGGGAAATGGTATAATAAAACTAAGTAACAACCACGTATATGAGCCAATAGTTAGCAACCGTAAGCTAACAACAATGAGGACAGATTATAGATGACAGTTCATACATTTGTATTGATTGGTCATTTTGTCAGGAAACTCACAGATTCTTAATTTTTTTATTGATATTTATGACTTCTTGCTCTTTGGACAAAAATTAATTAATATGCCTGTTAATGTAAATTAAACCTCAAATAATTTAGCCCATTATTTATTAACATAAATTGAAATTCTCTTGTCTGTTATTATAAAACAGGCAGTACCAAACTTTATTTTGACTGGCTTAATTCGGTAATCACAATGTACAACCAAGTTGGAAGGAATTTCGATGTAAAAAAAGAATGTATTTAACTATTTAGCAACCTTTACTAAGGATTATCTTGAGAGATCATTGATAGTTAGTAAAAGGAAATGACTTATCAACAATGATTCGTTCAAAGTTCTTCATATATATGGAACAACCATAATTTTTAATCTCAAATGATCTATAAACTTCAGAATGTCTGTTCAATTTAAGATCAAAATAATCATTTAAGAGAAAATGTTTATTGAGTTAATTTTGTCATCAATAGTTCTGATAAACTAACTCATGGCACTTAAATAATCCATTGTTTATTTTGTTTTGTATCTGTCACTATTATCCTACTGTTTGAGTAAAATGGGCTAACGAAACTGAGTGGAATATGACTTAAGTCTAAACAGTTTATTGTAGGATTAACGTAGATATTTTTGTAGGTATTAATCAGTAATCGAATAAGTTCTGAAGGAAGTGTTAACCAATAACGTGAGCTTCAAACATCAAGTAAGGATAAGTGATAGACCGAAAGAAACCATACATATCACATGTTTCAAGGTCTCAGGAAATGTGAAACGTAAATGTGGGCTGGCTATTATAACCAAGTTAATTATTCCCCTAACCACGGTTACCTTGCATTTTATTATCTCGGTCATTCCATCAACGTATAAATGTTCATGAATTAAGAGTAACATCATTAAGGTTTCAGAGAGGTCTGGCTATTAAAGCGTCAAAAATGTGGATAATTGCCCAGTTGAACTGTAGACCATAACATATTTTAACGACCAGAATTACCAACTGAGTTATACACAGCAGATCAGAATATGTGTATGTATAAATAGAAAACAATTAACGATGCTTGTGTTTTTGATGAATTAAAATTTATACAAAAACCTCGATTCTAAAGACTCATTTATATGACAATTGTATAACCCATATAACTGAATGGCTCTTGACTTCCCATTGCTTGCCTTCAGAACATATGGACTGTATGAACACATAATTCAATACTGTCATAATCAAGTTCATCCTACTTTGAACACTGGTTAGCATTAGGATCCAAGACTAGTGTTTCATCCTGTTTGAGTTTCAACTGCATGTTCCTGTATCCTATTTTCATTTTAAAGTATCAATGTAGTTTAAATCGAAACAATAACTACTATTTGCTTTCTATAAATCAAATTACCTACGATACTATGCAGACATTGGATATAATTAAAAAATATCTGTTTATTGAAAATTTTTGAAGAGTAGTATGACCAGAAAAAACTGTAATCGTTTACGTCAGTTAGTACACAAGTGAACGTCGACCATATGAAAAACCAATGTTACATAAACTGTCTAAAAAATTACAATATGGAAACTCAATTAGTAGTGATACTTCAAAGTAAGATACATTCTTATATTTTCGTATTTATGGAAGAAGTATTTTCGATAATGTTAAGTTTATTTCAACAGGATAAGTTTTCATTCTGCTTCCAAGTTATTTTTAAAATCACAAGGAAATGTTAAAGATGTATGAGCTTTTGACTGAAACCATGAATCGACCGATGTCAGACCACCACTGAGAATCCGAAACCACTGGACGGCCATTTCGTCCTAGTATGGGACCATGTGCTCACTAGGGAGTAGCTTCGTGAGGGAAATCTCGGAGTTCTAATGAGAAGCCATGATCATTGGAGCTAATCCACATCAGGAACGACAGGTATTTATTGCAGTAAAATGGAAGTTGGTCACGCAATTTCGTGAATTGATTGAAGTTAGACATTAACACCATTGGATGTCGGCTCGGTGGTCTAGAAGTTTAGTGTTAACGTGCGAAACCTAAGGTCCTGGGTTTGAATCCCACGTGTAGGATCGTGGGGAGTCCTATACTAGGGCGAAACGGCTGTCCAGCAATTCCAGATTCATATTGGTGGTCTAACATCGATCGATTTACGACCTCAATCTCCACAACCCCATACTAATATATGAGCTTTCAAGTTTTTTTCCTTTTCTGTCCTATTGTATGTCACTCATAATCTTGCATTACATATTTTACAAATTTCAAGTTATTCAAAAAGAACCCAAGTAAGCTTTCAGACCATAATCATTGGCTTGATCGGTTAGCTGAGTCGACGTTGATGATTTTATGAAAGTTGTTATTCAGTGGATAATTAGTTAATTAATCCACCAAAATACTGAGAATCTTAGAAACTAATCTTTGAATTTTAATTCATGAATTCGTATTTTATGCCTGAACTAACATGTTTAAATGATCTTCCCTTGTAGTAGCGTCGTATATCCCCTTTTTTTCATGTATCACTGTACGTCAGCTGCTCTACACACACGAGTACTAAAGGTGAACATTACCAACATTCTTTATGTAACAATTCCGATATCTCTGATAGCCCAGCTGATTATACCTATCTGGATATACTCAATTAGCTTGTCAATGCACAATGGCCAAGGTCATGTCTCGACCTCAGTATTTAAGATATTCTTTTGATTAACATTGAGATATTATTCCAGCATGGTAGTATATTTCATACTCCGAAATTATTTGAGATGTATGAATTCATATGTTTGTTGTTACGACCATTTACGAGGGTTTTAGATATTAATCCTAACTTGATGAGGCCTAACACACAAGAAACCGAAGTTTAATAGGCATCTGCAACTATTATGCAAGTAATAACTCAACAGTAACATTTTACACGCTTATTTGTAGTATTTACTTCTATAAGCAGAACACATTTTCAAAGAAAAACGACATGGGCCTAATCTAATATTTCACTCATAACAAAATCTATTATTTAGACTGGCATTTAAGTCCAACTTGCTTAAACAATGTGCTATTTAAAGCAGGTAATGTTTATTATATGATCTATTTTCAGAACTGAAGGTGGGTCAAGGTCAGTTTCAAATGTGCGCGTAAATGATAGACGGACATATCTATTGATAAACAAAAGAATTATAACTGTCCTAAATACTGGAATACTAGGGCAACAGAATTTTTGAAGAACCAATCATATGATGATGACCTCATTATTGCCAATGCCATAGAGTTAGGCGTCGACCTAGCCATGCGTAATTTCGCCTTTTCGCGTCATAATATCTACTATCCAATCTGAATTCCGAAATAATTGACCAATCAGTGACTAGATCACGACCTGGATTAAACGAACAGTATGATACAAGGACAATTCGAGTTAGATCTCTCCCCCTAGGTGTCAGAATGCAAGCAAAAGCAAAAATGGCTTCAACAAATAAATACACACAGTAAAAAATATTGTTTATGTCCTTATCTTATTTAAAGCGCGATTAAACATCTGTCCACCCGGCAATTGGACACTTGCTTTTTGGAATGACACAAATATCGACCATGACTGCAGCTGACTGAAATGATGGTTTTTTAAAACTCATTCCTATGTAAACAGTGTTTATTCAATGACCTAGTTTGTGGATCAATATAACCACGAGGAATTAGATAGTAGATATTCAGTGTACTAATGAAAAGTCATGTGAAGCGCCTACAAACTAAATCTTAGAAGCATGTTCCTTTTACGGTAAGTAATGTCCGATTTTCCTGTATGTTTTAAATGCATAATCCCCACTGCTGTTTATTTTTCTATGCATTTCTGGAATGGACTTTTTTGGTTGGCTTATATCTCACTATGTTCTGTATGTTGACCAAGTCAATCCAGAACTAAACGCGCATTTTGTTTATCATACTATCCATTTTTTTATGGGCGTACTAACTTCCCAGTCATATCTACCTTATGGGTGATAGTACGTAACCGTGTCGGATAAAATGCGCCAAATGGGCTTGAACTGTTGGTTGATTATCTATACCGTTGTTGAATAGTAATGTTTACTTTTTTCCATCTGACCTATGATGGTAATTTTGTTAATTTGGTCATGGAAAAAATTTTATTAACATGTTTAAGCAAAGAAATAAGTTTGATCGTTGTTGATCAATAGTTTGTTATGGTTGATCCATTATTTTTGAGTGAAGCATATTGATTTATCAACTCTGTTGTTTGTTTATTTTCCTAAATAGCGTAAGATATACCAAACTAAATTTGAGGATGAGGACATTCGGACTTTTTTTCAAGTAAAAGAGGTCAATTCATTCTACTTACTAGTTTAAATCTTGTGAAGTATTCTAGACAGTTAACCCTATAAACTATCTGCTAACTCACAGAATGATGGCTTTAAAAATAGACAAATAGATTATCAGTGATGGTTGTATTTCTTGATTTTGGTTCTGCGCCAAATGATTGTTTAGTATTACTACTTTGACATGCGTCAGAGACCTATTCACTCCTATTAGAGATTATTCATGATTTGAGCAGTTTAGTGTTTGATTGTCAAAAAGATATTTGGATAGAAAAAAGAAGACCAAATTTCAAGCTTTGTTGTCTTCACTCAGTTATCATGTTAGTACAGAGATTGATTTTTTCGCAACTTGACAGAAGTGTATTGTTATGGAAACGACTTCCCGAATGCTTAACTGTCATCTTTAAAACAGTTTAGATCTGAATATCTTTTTTTCAATAATCATGGAGATCATTATTAAAGACCTAGTTTTTATCAGTTAAGTTGAACGATGTCTTTATTACTGGTTATTCTATTGATGACAAATATATTCAACGTTTTTTCTGTTCTTGCAATACAGAAAGATGTTCAGTTAGTTTCTAGTATTCGCGTTAAGGTCAACCCGTATTTCCTGAATTTGGCGTTGATTTTATTTATAATGATGCTCAGCTTTCACATAAAACCATTCAATAACTATAATGGGTTGTACAAGGTGGATGATATAGCTGTAGTTCTCCAATTGTTTTTACCAAGCTCCGGTAAACATTATGAAAAGAATGGTCATCCTCTTATCTAATGATCCTTATTTCATTCGTTCTCTTGTTACAGCTTATCTAACGAGGCAATATTAAAAGGCTGTTACATGATTTGATACAATCCATTAGTTAGAAAGTAAATGTCCGATCATATAATTTATTTTTGAATACTTTCCCAAAAGATTATGTACTGCTTTTGAACACTTATTTATCACGGAAACTATCATCATGAATTTGTTCTTCTAAATTTCATATTCTATATGAATTTTCATGCACTCTACTGAGTTAAGTGTAAAAAAGTTTACAATTTATGGTCAAATCATTTCTATTGCTGTCTAAACCTTTGAATTTTTGTTATTTCCAGAGTGGTCATATTAAGTAGGGCTACTTGATACGTCATACATTTATGCTCAGGTTCTGTGTGTACGATTACAAAATATCTTTATACAAATCCTTTAAAGAGGATAATTCAATTTTAAAGTCATTTGTACTCATTTGTTTACAGGTGTTTATGACAGTAAACAGTGTTTACTATCTCACGTGTTGATAAATTACGAGACATTTCTTTTTGAAGTAGATTGGCAAATGTTTGAATATATGTTGAACTGGATAATGTCACTCATTGCATTCAATGTATGCATAATATTCGTCTTACTCGACTATTAATTCGTTGGTTTTATTTTGAACAGTAATAAGTTGATCGCTTCTAGCATCGTTTTGTCCTGTTTAGACTAACGTTTGTCATACTAAGATTAAACTCGAATCACCATACAGTGTGTTTCGCTTTGAAATTTACATGAGTTAGGTCGATTCGTTGAACAGATGGTAAATACATCGCACGTCAGTTTGTATGGGGAATTTTTTTTCCGCAGTAGTGAACAAATTTTCTGGTCCATCTAGACCGAGTAAAACTGGATTTAATCTATGACGTCTGTTACAAAATGGGAATGTCGCTGTATCTATAAGCCCTACAGCACAAGTAGCTGATCATTTAAGGAATCAAAGGCTATGGTTGGCATTTTAGTTCAAAATATCTAGAGAAATTGATGTAACAGTGGATTCACTTTCATTATACAGCTAAAGAGAAGCGTATCAATAATGACTGCATATAGTTATTTATCTCAAATTGTTTGCATTACATAAATGTGCAACGAAAGGATGTATTTTGGCTGTCCTATAAGGTAGATGAAATATACAGAAAACATCGTTCTGTTTTAGTGACACTGCTTTTGAAATTCGAAGAGAAGCTAAAATGCCAATGTGTCCATAATATCTGTAGGGAACTGTGGATTTTTTAATTAGCGAGCATAAAGTAAGCTAAATCAAGTGTTCACCTATATGTTATAAATTAAAGTTGGTCACATGTATGCTTATTATTCATAAATTCGTCTCATTTTGAATTTGTTTCAACTTGGTTTCTTACACAACTTCACTTCTCACCATTATTGTAATTATTCTGAATATTTCAATAGTTCATATCCTTATTTATTTCCTGTACTGTTTTAGGTTTCTTCTACAGAGTTTCTTCCTTTTTAAACTAATGTTTTGAAGAAATAGTCTGAAAAGATTACTAGAAGAATTGTTTTGAATCTATTTGTGTTTGTAGTCTACCGGTAGGTGTTTTGGATCATGGGTTTCATTCGTTTCACCCTTCATCGGTGTGGAATCTCATTGGTTCTAGAAATTGGGCATAGTACCGATTAAATTTTAATCTGTTAACCATTATAATAAGACAACATTCACGCCTGTTTACACATAATTGAGAGCAACTTACACGTAAATCAAGATCACGTGAACTGTCTTACATTCAGTTTTGTACAAAGATTTTCACAAAACTACCTTTTAGAGTTGATGGAGGAAGTAGTTATTAGGTTTCCTCAAAATTAGGTTTGAAACAGAGATTAAGTGACATTATTATTATTATTATTATTATTATTATTATTATTATTATTATTACTATGATTATTATTATTATTGATTTTATTTGGCCACCTTTCCCAAAACTGAATAACAGTTTTGTACCAAGATTGTTTCGGCTACTTTAATGAGAGCTGGTTGACATATAAATTAGAATATATAACATAGATAAATGGTGTGAAATTAGTATTGATACACTTCCAGTGGAAATGTAATGCCTACCTGTTTGAAACTACTTCTTTTAATAGAACCTCACCAACAAAGCACCATTGGAAGTTTTCACTCATAAAATATCGCTAAAATTTTGTGACACTCACTAATATGATAAAATTTATTTAATTACTTTTGTTTGACAACTACAAATATTTGTGAGGACTAGTGAAATGACTCGGCTTCCTGCATCAAAATGAATGGAATAGGACTAAATGTTTCATGTTATGATTCCCCATGCCATCAGTAGTCATTTATGTTGTGCTCAAGCCTGTTAATATGCTTTAGTTCTTACCCATAAGTTTTATAAATGGTTAATACATATTAAAGTTATGTTCTATTGCTTGACTTGATCAAAGAATTATAACCTAATTTTAGTGTTTTACTTGACAAAAACTTCATAGTTAATCAAGAAAAGCTCTACAAACTTTGGAAAAGTCACCAACGATACTTAGTGAAAACTGGAATCACATGTAGAGTTTGTTTGAAAAAAAAGGCAAATTAATAAAGGTGGAAATGTTTCTCTATTCTTTTTTAAATTTCCTAAAAACTAGTTATTTACAACAATTGGGATCTGTCTACTGGTGTTAATGAATTTACCGTAATTTAAGTGTATAAATTTCATTCCCATCCATTTTTTATTCAATAGATTTACTAATTTATAAATAACTGAAGCACTACGTAATTTCGTATTAATTAGCAATGATATATATTATTAATCCTTGTTTAAACGTCAGTAGTACATGTTTCTGGGTCTTAAGAAAAATAAAAATTTCAACGGAGATTTCTTTACATTTATTATTTGTGATACTTTTCTTGTAAATTCTCGATTTTCAACCATTGGATAACTAACTTTAACCTATCCCTTATATCTACGGTATATGTAATATGAGTCGAGAATTTAATTAAATCTTCAAAGGTCTGTAGCACATATTTTACTACGAATATATGTATGATATCATTGGTAAAACCATTGACATGAGAGTTTAATTTCTTCTTATGTGGTAATATTTTGGTAGCATTAAGATGCTGACAAATTGCAGTCTTCTGACCACTATAAGCAACAATGCAAGCATGTTCGAGATGCAATTCTCCCCCTCGAAATGCAAAATGTTACTTCAGGATTGGGTGGCATCGACACCCGAACTAATGATAGGGAGTGAAGTAGTTGAGTGTACCGACCGCTTCACTTATCTTGGGAGTCTCATCAGCTCTTTCGGTCTGATGTGTGACGAAATCTCAGCACGGATACAGAAAGCTCGACTAGCTTTTACCAACTCCCGTCATTTATAGCGTTGGCGAGATGTCCGTCTACCAATCAAAGGACAGGTTTACTGCGCAGCAGTTCGTTCCATCCTACTTTATGGCAGTGAAACATGGCTGCTGAGAGTAGAGGATATTCGTAGGTTACTAGTATTCGATCATAGGTGTCTTCGAAATATTGCTCGTGTATCCTGGCACCACCGAGTAAGTAATACAGTTGTTAGAAAACGGGTACTATGTAAGGATGGCAAATCAATTGATGAAGTAGTGAAACTTCATCGGTTGAGATGGCTGAGACACGTGTTACGTATGCCCAACCACCGACTGTCCCGACGTGCGACGTTTTATGGTGTAGGCGTAGGTTGGAAGAAAGCTAAGGGCGTCCAGACCAGAATGTGGCACAAATCCATAAAGTCACTGACAAGAGGACTGAGCCGTGTTGGTAGATGTAGACTACGTGGTTGGGATCCGCCAGACGATGGCAACCGATGGTTAGAGACCTTGAATGGCATGGCTTAAAATCGTTTGCAATGGCGCAGGTGCATCTAATCTTTGTGTTCTCCCAAATTATAATCTTTTGAATTGTCCGTGTCTCTTTTTTCCTTTTCCAATTTTATTTCACTGTATTATACTCCCTGAATAACATCTTCAAAGCAAAATGCTTTCGATTACTGCTTATACTCTTACTAGGTTTGCTACTACAGGATTTGAATCGATAACTGCATCTCTGTGCTAATGTGGTATGGCAACTCGAACTGATGTACGTAAGTACAAAGTTCTACCTTGTTACTGACTGACTGATAATTAAATTAAGTAGTCAAGTTTCTGACACTTATTATTGATATATTGATCAGAATCTTGAACTGTCTTGTGAAGTCCATGGTATTTACATAGATATGCCTCTAACCATCTGGGCTTCACTTGGCCTACAGCACACAAATATGTGTACTAATCTTGATACAAGCATTATATTTCTTTAAATTTCTTGTAAATCATTCATGATGGTTGTATTTTACGCGATGATTTTTCAGATTGATAAAAAAGTCAACTACGAATTTTTGAGTAATTTTGAAGGTTAATTAAACCTTATACATTATAGATTGTCATACTTTCGTTTTGTTACACATAATTCCAAGGTTATAATTTATCAGATTGTACTCATTGTTTACCCGTATTTTGGAAGTTATAATTTCTCTATCACTAATATTAACCAAATATCGAAATTTCAGAATAAATGAATGCTAGCAATTGCAATTATTCCAATTAATTTTATGTGACACTAATTAAAATTCTGATTATTTGGTTTGTGTATTGAATTTAAGTCAATTATATAACTATTTTATTTTTATCTTTGTACTTTAATAAAATTGATTGTTGTTCTTTTGCACACAATCCTTTTTGTTAAAAAGTGCAACTTGATAACTATTGAAAAATTTTCGACGTTGGTATTTTTGGATGTAGTGGCGTAGTGGTCAATGTACCCAGCTTTTAACCATAAGGTCGTTGATTTGAAAATTTTTGATAAGTTGGTTGTTGATATTCGCTCTTATATAAAAGGAATGGTCGCTTACGGTCTTTGTATTCTGTTATTCAACTAGTAAACTGTAGAATTTCATTAAAATCATGAACCAATCCATCCACTGCTTCCAAGTCTCCAATGGTATGGTAATTTAGATCGGTCTATGATTGTGATTCAATAAATTTTTGTTAGCACTCTGATATTAAGTCAGTGAAATAAAATTTGAAAATTTTGAAGTGTTGTTTGGAAAAATGATTTCTATATAATTCAGGAACTGAGTTATTTACTACTTTGTGTTGACACTTGGTCGTATTGGTACGCACTGACCATAATTTTGATCAGCTAACTAGAGCATTTCGTTCGGCCTGGAGTCCACATGCACTTCCACCCTTCCTTAATTCTTTCCAGATTTCGATGCCATCAGCTCAAAGTAGCTTTAGAAACTTAATTATACTTGGGAGTTCATTCGCATGGAGTATAAAAAGTTAAATACCTAGTAGGAAGCCTTGAGCCACTCCACTAAGTATTGGTTTCTATGAAGAACATTTGCGTCTTATTCTTGTAGTCGACGAACCACTAGGAAGACCTTAATCCGATTTATCAGAGTTGCACTAATTCTTGAGTTTCCCAAGTTTTATTAGAAGTCTATTATGTGGTGCCTTATTAAATGATGTAATGAAGTTAACGTAAACATGACTTATTTATTTTCTATTATCAGATAACTCCGTCCATCTCTGTCTTACTATTAGTTTAGTCGTATGTGGTGTTCCTTTGTTGAAGCCATTTCATTCATTGTGTAACAAGTGTGTTGGTTTTCACCTAAGTAATTATCTTTTCGTTCATTCCTTATGATATTTTAACCACGACACTGGTGAGGCTGATGAGTCTGCACTTCAAGAGAAATTGTCTTTATTATGCCTTGTGAAATGGAGTGTTAGTTGTACCCTTCTATTCCACATGTAACTCTGGGTGAATGAGACTGAATATCCTAGTGAACAGTGTAGCAATATATGTCGCAATGAATCTCATAATTTTAGGGCGTATCTCATTCACTCCTGTTAGTAATCGACTTAGTAATATTGATTCTGGCCCTAGTCTTTCGTCAAGTTCAGGCTCATAAATAAAGACCGTCCCAAAGTAATCGCGCATGGCTTTCGCTTAGTCTTCCTCTATCATTTTAGACACTCATAATCAAATTGGAGACCCATGGCTGTACTCTTGTTGTGTAGTTGTTATGTGCGGACAGTCCCTTTAACCGCTTAATTAAAGCCTAGTAATATCAGGGTTTACTTTCTTACGACTCAAGGTTTAAGAAAACCTAATGAGCTTTAAAATCAGCTAGATTAAATTGGAAAACGATTGCGAAGTATATTTTATCTGAATTTTGGGAGAATCACATTGAGTGAAAATTACCACAGCAACCTGGTCATTAATTATACGGGAGTTTCCTACTAGATGCTGATTACATTATTTTCTGGTGACCTATAGTCTATTTCGGTTGTAATAATGAAGTTACAAAGAGCTAAACATGATATATATTAACTTTGTTCTCATGGATAAGTTGAATATGGTTACAACTAAATTTACTAGTTAGCTTTCTCCCATATTTGGATAAATATTTACTGATTGAATCAAATTCCTAACCGATTAATTTGTAGTTTGCATACAATAAACAGACATTCTTGATTATCCTTTTACTATGTTTTTTAACTATGAGACTTGACATTTTTTTAAAATGAACCGCATGGTAAATTAGCTTAATCTATTTTTGACTTCATAATTTGTTCTTCTTGTTAGGCAAATTAAAAGATAATACCAGAAGGGGCTTTGTGGATATCATAGTAATTTCAATGATTGAGATCGTAAGTCAGTTGAAACTAGACCACCTTGGAAAACCTGGAAGCACTGAACGGCCGTTTCGTCCTATTGTGGGACTCCTCAACATTGCACATCCACGGTCTCGCCTCCCGCGAGATTTGACCCCAGGACCTATCAGTCTCGCGCGCGAGCGCTTAAGCACTAGACCACTGAGCTAGCATTCAACAGTGGTAATGTCTAACTTCAACTGATCCACAAAATTGAGCGACACATGCACCATTGTCATCAGTGAGTTACTATCGAAACAGACCTGGTTGAACTCCACTGGTCACTGCTTCTCACTAGAACTCCAGGATATACCTCTTGAAGCCAGTCACTAGTGAGCATATGTTGATCATTATCAGAAGGGGTTTTGTGGATATTAGGGTAATTTCAATGGTTGAGATCACGAGTCAGCAAACGGCTGTCCAGTGCTTCTAAGTTTTCCATGGTGGTCTAGCTTCAACTGACTCATAATCTCAACCATTGAACTTAAAAGTTGTTTGGAGAATGTACTGTCAGTTCTTTCGCCAAAGTTGTTAGATTCTAATACCGACTTATTGTGGATAACTGAATGTGATTGTATGCGTTACAAATATTCAAACCCGTAATGGATACCAAAATTATTACCTAATAGTCTACTGACCATCTTGAAATAACTTTATCATTTTTGTTTGAGTTTTTCTTTGAATTATTGTCCTATTCATCAATAGTGCAAATGTCTTTTGGACCCCGATGAAACGTTTGAAACCTAAAACACGAATTAATATGATTGTATACCCTAAAAATAATGATCAGTGTTTGACACCATTTTTATTGATCGATTTTGGTGTAGTTTTGTTCTCTAAAGTTTGTGCTGATGATTGGTCGATTTTAGTGACAAATTTTTCTTCATGATAGACCACATTATTTTTTTAGTCTTAAAAGGTTTTGATATAAATTACAATAACATATTTGATTTTATATGTGAGAATTGTATTTGAAATGATCTCAGCGATTAACATTTAAATAATTCCAACGTTTCGCCCAGCTAACTTGTCTGGACTTCTTCAGGGTAATAATCAAAATCAAAATCACCAAAGAAATATATAATGACTTCCCTATACTCGGCTCCCAATTTCTTTCAAACTCTTCGTTCTAATCTTGACCAATATTGATATAAACATATTTTTTTGTTTTTAGGATTGCAGAAGCTCTTGTAACAAGTGAAGAGTCTCATATGGCGTTGTCAAATGCTTCTGAAAATGAAACTGCTGAATGCAAACAAAATTTTCATAAGTTTTCAGAAGAACGATCTCCAGAAGATAACAGATCATTATCTTCACCACACATCCCCGATGCTACTTTAAGTAATCAACCGGTGTTTGAAGGAAGTGAAAAGTTATCAAGAATTCGCTTGAGTTCTTCAGGTGATTCTTCTATACCTAGTCCATTGTCTTTTCCTACGAAATTTATTCCGTCGAGAAATTCAGAAATTAACCCTTATCCATCTGCTTCATTGAACCCGGTAAATGTTAACAGCATTCATCCTTCTAAGCAGGTACATCAGGGATTATTATATAATTTGCTCATTTCCAAAGAAACTTCATCACAAAATTCTACGTCTAAAACTTCGGTCTCTATTTCTCCCGGTCAGTCATTAATGGAAACTAATGGAAATATGAGTGATGTACGAACAGATAAGCCACTTTCTGACTCAACAGTGTTCATGGATTCTCATAATGCAGATACAAACATTTATCCTAGCTCAGTTAAAAGTTCTACAGTTTATTCTAATTTTCGTCATCGAGCAAACTCTCTTGGTTGCAAACTTTCTAATAACCGCCCATATACTCGACCTCATGCTTCATCTTTTGGTGCCGCTTCTGATTTTTATCCTAGCCTCAAAGCACGTTTACAGCATCGTCGTCAAATGGAAGGATCAACACCAGATTCGGTCTTTTCAAAACCAAAATATACATTATATCATCGAGCACTGTCAAAGTCACATGAAAATGCTATGAACGTTTCACATATAGACATTCGTTCTCATAGTTTAAGCGCTATCTTACCTCAAAAATCTAGTTTATCCTCATCCGGTGTATCTAGTCCCCGTGTTCCACCCCAAAGTTTTCCAGTTTATTCCAGAATGATGGCTCCCTCTCCCACTATCACTTCTCAGAGTTCAGGATATAGTTCAGCTGGCCTGCAAAAATCTCCTCATACCTCTTCACTGTCAAATGATTCAGGATCTGATGAGCCAATTGATCTCACTGGCCACTCTGTACCCATATCATTAATAACAAATACATTTTCTTTACCTACTATTACTCCCGGTGTTAATAATATTCAGAATGGAAATTTTCCTTATGTACAGTTAGCTAAGAAAACTGCTCGTCCGGTGCAAGCACGAATTACCGAGTGGTTACGGCAGATTACTGAGTTTGTGGCCCTATCTACGCCTCTTGTTTCTACTTTGAAACCTAAATTATGGACTCTTAATGATTTATCTAAACAAGAACATCATTTGAATGACAAGAATGTTGCTTTTCCTTGGTTATCATTACTTGCACAATGCTGGCAAAAACTGTTAGCCTTAAGTATGGTTGAGAATTCCTTGGATGTTGTTGTTGTTGAAGATAAATCACCATACGAAGAAAACCATCAATACCAGGATCCTATGAACTTGGAAATCCCATGGTCTCTGCTTCTAGATATACAAAGACATGGAGAAACGAAAAATAGGAGGCCAGATCGGAAGTTTTCTAATGAACTCCTTCAATTTTTGTCAGAAATACGTCAAGCTGGTTTGAGTGCTCAGGAGTTTTATTTATTGCGTCACGTAGTTCTTCTGACTGGTATGTTCCGAATGTCTTTAATAAAGAGTATCATTTTTGTACCAGATTCCTCGTAGTTTTTGTTGAGTTACCTGTACTTAAAACATTTAGTCAGTTGAGTTGTACTATTATATTAATGTACGTTTTATTGGTTGAAATGAATTTATTGTAGACCTGGCTCATGATAAGAAAAGCGTAAGAAGACTTATAATATCGTCTAAGCAGCTTTTACTTTTTCAGCTGATCATATGATTTTTCCTAACCTACCTATACTCTAGTAGATATATCATATTGGATTGATCGGTGGCTTTGTATTACTCGAAATGAGCTTCATTAACTTTGATCTTTAACGGTTCTCACAACTTTCTCGACCAATTCATCATTGTCGCTCGATACTGAAATCCAGCACAACGTGCCTAATATACGATAAAAATACTTTTCAGATAGAAATTTATCAGTACGTAGCGAATGGCAAGGTTCGCTAGCTTATATGTAGTTACTTCTTTTTGTGGTATGATTTCTCGCCAATTCTGAACATCTTTCCGTACAAGTTGCAATCATCTATTTACCACTTCATAAAAATATTCCTTTGTGCATTTTACTTCGGTTTCAGAAATAGAAATGCATCCGTCACACAGACATGCATACCATAAAAGGCTTTCTTTTTTAAAATCCCTTTTGAATAGATGTACATGGACACGATGTTCCTAGATTATTTCCGTATTCCGATTTTAATCTTTTTTTGAAAGTGTAGTTTGAAATTTTCAAATGCAAATTAAGGCTTGGAATTCGTGTTTTAACGTGATATTTAAATAACCATGATCTTAATGTCTAGATAAGTATTTGTTATTTATCCGTTTGTCGGCTTTCATTGACTGATATTTTAATTGATGCTTTGATTTTGGATTTATTGAAATGTACTGATATATATATATATATATATATATATATATATATATATATATATATATATTCCTTAAGAAAGCAATACCTCACGTGAATTACGAAATCATTCAAACATCGGTGTAGAACGACAATAAGACGGATAACTTAGCAAGTTTCAATGCTTGGCAATATTTTTAAAGAGTTAATATAACTCATTTAAGAATGACTGATTTATGTACTCTGTGTGTGTACAAGCCAATTATACTGCTTGATCACTCAAACTAGTTGTGAAAACGGGGTTCGAACCTATGATTCTGTAGTTGAAAGTGTCATGCTTTAATTCTTAGGGCATCAATCAACATGAAGCTACTGAACACACTGAACAAATGCTATATTTCATGAAGCAAATCATTCCAAATGGTATTACAACATTATGATTTGGTTGTGATATTCTTGCACTTGGAGAAACTTTGGGTTGAACACCATCAAGTATTTTAAAACAATAACAGAACAGTTACTATGGTATGTTTTATTTGTTAGTTTTTACTACTGTCTAGTAATATGTACTTTTTTAAAGTTTTACTTTGCCTTTCATTCTTTCTTTACTTTTTTAAAAACAGTTGATGAACCGGATACTTTGCCTACCTTGGGTTTAAATGTCATCCGTGCTTCAAGATGCATGAACAATAGTAATAATAATAGTAGTAAAACGGATCAGTCGAATTGTGTTGCTAATTTATTAAAAGATGGAACTCAGGCTTCTATTCTTCCATCAGAAGTTGAACCGCCCACAGTGACTTTTGATTTAGCATGTTTAGCTTGTGGATTAAAAGCTCTTCGATCCATGTGTCCTTATCGAATTGCAAGTTTATTCTGCAGTCATTTACGAAATAGTTCAATATTGAATCAAACATTTATACTTGAAATGCATATAAAATATTTATTAGCCCTTAAAGATCTGCAAACGTTATCTTCTTCACAAATCACCGCTGAGGTTGTTAGTAATGGGATTAATAATAGTAATAATAGCAGTATCAACAGTAATGGTAATAGCAACAGTAAAAACAATATCAACAATAATAATAAGCATCCCATGCTTCAAAAGATACAAGTAAATAAAAAAAGTATCTTGGAACAATTGTTTGATAGTGCTTGAAAATAAACATCACAATTTGTAAACAATTATGTGGGATTGTACTAGTTCTTTATCTCCTAATAAACAATAGCACTGTAACCTAAGTATTGAAGACACTAAATGAAAAGAGTACAGCCCCAAGAAAGAGGAAATGTTGGTAACATTGGTAGTTGTATCATCCTTGTTAATAAACAACACTACTTCTTTCTTGGGTCTGTACTCTTTTCATTTAGTGTCTTTAATACTTAGGTTTCAGTGCTATTGTTTATTAGGAGATAAAGAACTAGTACAATCCCACATAATTGTTTACAAATTGTGATGTTTATTTTCAAGCACTATCAAACAATTGTTCCAAGATACTTTTTTTATTTACTTGTATCTTTTGAAGCATGGAATGTCTATTATTATTGTTGATATTTTTTCTTTCTGTTGTTAGCTCCATTACTGTTTTGATGATACTGACTGTGGTATAATGATATTAGTGATGATCTTATTATTGTTAATTTCACTACACATACTATGTTATAATGCCTTATTATGAAAACAAACTTTTCAAATAATAAATTTAATTTATTCTTTCTTGTTTCATCTGCTCATTTTCATCTATCACTGATCTCGATTGTTTAAAAAACAGTCATCAATCCCATTGCAAATACCTGATGTTCAACAATTTCGTGTTGAGTCATGAATTCAGAGATGGTACTGTCTAGACATTGAGTAATTGGTTGAATTATTTTGCTTGTCCATATTTAGGTCAAATATACGCTGCATAACCTTGAGATCATTTCTGCACTGTATAAACATGCCAATTTTTTCAATAAATACTGAGTGGGCTTACATACGTACGTGATCTATGATTTATCTTGTGTTCAACTTTGTACTAATATTTATTGAATTAGTATGACTCATGTTTTTATCTCAGTCCGAAAAGTCGGACTAGAATCAAACTTCTTATTAAACCCCATCTTTTCGTTACAGTGTTAAAAATCTATCGGTGACTGGTTTCCGTTTCAACTGTCAGTTAAAAAATAGAAAAATTTATTCATTAAGCGTATACAAAACTCCCTGTTCTACAGTGAATACGACGTTTAAATTTGAGCTATAGGACCAATATAATCTCGTACTTAGTGTTTTCTAAAAAAACATGAGCAAAACTAACTATGACTCGTTTAAAGGAATTCAGCTCTGGTTAGCCTCATAAATAATGAATGCAAATGAAATTAATGACCATATTAATAAAATGAAAATTATGAAAAAATGTGAAATAAATAAATAATAATAGAGAGTATCCTAGATTCGAAGTTAATGAAATCATAAACCTCGTATCAATACACCAGTCCAGACGCCACCTTTCTTCCTTGTGGCTGTAGTTCCGACGTTTGGACACAACTTCCGATCGCTGTACTGTAAATTTTTGTTCAACTTCTGAATGCCACATTTTTGGTAACTGGGTATTGTTAGCGGTCTACACGACAGTAGTAGCTCATATTGCTCTGTAGAGTTTGTTCACTCTTATTTGTGGTTTCTCATACATTATGCATCCCGTCTTTTATTAATTGACTTATCTACAAAGTATTTTCATTACTCTGCTAGATATGGAGTTACTGGGATGAGCAAATTAGTTTTACGCCATCTTGAGCGACTAAGAGTTAAATATTCATTAGCTTGGTTAATGAACCTGCATATGAAATCTTAGTGTATCTACACGCTGTTTAGATTATTATCAGTAATATTTATAAGTTTCACAAACGGAAAGAATCACTGCAGTAGGTAGATCTTTTTTTTTCTTCAGTTTTAAATACTAACAGCTGTGATCGAAATTGTAAGGTCATTTTTTCCGTTCTGTTTTTTTTATGTATGAGTCAGTCAACGGGCATATAACAAACCTGTCCACTTGAGTCACCAAAAAAAATGAAATTGAAGATTAGACTTTGTTCGTGTTATTTCCGTTGTTTGTTATCCATATCATTACTAATGAATACAAGATAAAATAATTTTTATATTCAGTATCTATAGATAGAATGATTTTTAGTGAAATGATTCAAGACTTATCATTTGTCCCTTGATAATTGTCAGCAGAAAGCTATGTACTTAGATTTATATGCTTATTGAAACACAAGATAGTAGATTGCGGAAATACATTTTATCTAGGTGTTTACTCTACTTGTTGTTACTTGACATATTTGAAAGAATCGAACTAAAATTTGTGAGTCATAAGATTGGGTCCGGCTCCATATAATGTAATTCAGGTACTCAACACTCATTACATACTAAACATGGTTCAAGGTTTAGTCACATTTTTACATGGTGACTGGCGTCCAATAATGCTTTTACTTTGGGAGGCATATTATAGGTAATAAATTATAATCACTTTCAACGTTGATAAACCATTTTCGGACTAATTTTATTTTATGTTGTACTCAATTTTACCAACACATAATGTGGAAATGTGTTCAATGGAGTAATTCTGATATTCCTATATACCATAAGATCGACTAAGTATTTAAATGCATCTGGAACCAGGTGCCGATCTACGTTTTACTCTGTCAAACTATATTTCCAACGTGAGGGTTATCTAGTAGATAAGACTGAAGAAAGATGGGTGTGGTTTGAATCTGAAACTCAGTAACTAAAGTAAAGAGTATTAATCAAAAAGTCTTCTACCCTAAGTTGTTTTACTGCTCATATATTTTTAAATTGAGATGATATTTACAATCTTCACTCGAAGGTTCATTTATTGCAAAAATAATCCGAGTAAGAGTGTGCGTATTATATTGAATGTACTATCATGACAATATTGATCCATCAGTCTACCGTATATAGCACCAGAACCAATATTCACATTTACTATGAGCTAAGATAAAAACATTTCTATGTATTGTAGTATTTTTAAATTATGCCTTCAGCGTGAACTAAAGAGATAGCAGAGAAATAGTAAAACATTTCCCATCGGTTGTATGTTAAAAATAAATCGAAAATGTCCTAAATACTATTCTGAAATATAAGTTTACTGTTTTGGAACCTGATTTTTTACAGTGTCTCCGATTTTATACGAGACCGAACTAGTAATCTTTAGGTTTTTCAGTCTTCACGTTACCGAAGTATCTAAAATTAAACCATATTCAAACTTAGGAAATCTCCATGATCCATCTCATTCGATTATGATCCATTGTGCAACTGTGACATGATTCAAGATGAGCTTCATCTGAATGTGTTAGTTTGGCTGTAAAAGTTCAGGTACATAGTGCATCTGTGTAAGTTGTTCCACTCTGCTGTTGTAAAATCTTACTCCTCTGATCTGAGATTATCCAGTTACCTATCATATTTGATAAGCATTGTCTTCAGAGGAATTCTCACGATCTTGGTTAAAACATGATTCACGGTCAATAATCCAGTAGCTTCTATACCGCTAATTATTTACCTGAACTGATACTGGATTGGAAAAACGGAGATGTGGTTAATAATATCTCAGCTCTGTGGAGTGACAGATATCTTTGTTAAGTTGGCGCGTATCGGCCCAACAAATATCCCTGAGTCGAATTCTAGGGATTACCCTTTTCATTTACTTGAGGCATATTTGAATTATTGAGGCAGTTTACATTATTAGATCTGGATTAGAAAATGGAGCAGTGACTATTTTACTGTCATTTTAAAACATTAATAACCAAAATAAATGTTTCTTAATTTCATCCTTAATCAGACTGTACCTTCCGACTAGTAAACCTCTCGACGAATCTCTAATTTGTCTTTTTGTTTTGTAAATAGTGTTTTTCAACCGTGTTTGGCAAATACTTTTGGTTCTCAGCTATGTCAAAGTCTTTTATCATGCTTTACCGGCTTGTTTCTCTGCTGTCGATCGCTAGTGAGTATATTCCTTTTCTTCCGACTGATTGCTCCGGTCTACTAAATTTCTCGTCAGGTGTTTTGGTTCTACCACAAAGTTTTTTTCATATATCCACTGGCAGCTTGTTCTGATATAGTTTCCAGGTCTTTAATATATGAATGTTTAAAATGTGAGTTAAAAGTACAATACATGAACCTCCAATTGATTAGTTGATTCCATTATCTTTTTTATCAGTAAAGGGTTGTGGAGATTGGCGTATTTATCGAAATCATGAACCGATTCGAGTTAGATCTCATTTAAAAGCCTGAAACGATTGGCTGGAAGTTTCATCCTAGTAATGAACTCCTTAGCAGAGCTCATCCAAGACCTTGCGCGCGGGAATTTACCCCTTTGAAACTAAACTGTGTCGAGTCTGAGGCAGTAACCCATCGAAGACAATGGAGAATGGTCGCGCAATGTCATTTGTGGATTGAAGTTAGCTATTAACAACATTACATGCCAAATTAATGGTCTAGAGTCTGGGTGTTCATGCTCAAGGCCATGTGCGAGTTTGTGGATGCTCAATGTTGAATAATCTACTTTTTGGTTCATTTGGTTTAGCTGGATCATACAAAAGCTGAATTATTTAAATTACAGTCTATTGATTTCCTATTTTCTGACAATTTCATAACATAGCAAAGTCAGATCAATAAAATACTACATTGATTTTCATTGTAATTGTAATTCTTATCCTTCATGTAGAGATCTAGACTAATATCAATGGTTTTCTGACAATTGCGCTCTAATTATAAACAGGTCAAAGGTCATTTGCATAAGTAAAATAGATTTTTCTGTATTTATATTTTTTGTGTTTTGTTAAAGCTGACTCATATAAACCGTCATTATTCAGGTCAATACATATAGACCAATTTAATTTGTGTGGAAGTATGATATCAATAATAATAAGCTAAACATGGTTCAACTTTTTAGGTTTTGTATACCTTAGCTACATTTACAAATGTAAGTGAATGGAGTTCTTTTTTGTGAAATTTTCTGATCAATACATTTTCGGCTTTAATAACGAATACATAGATAACTAATGGTATTTCTGACCATTTTACTGTTTCAGTTATTTGGTAAATTTCACAAAATCACTCAAACTATAAAAAAATGAGCTAAGGCGTAGAAAGTCATACCAGTTTACTTTTACCCATAGTAAGTAACAGTGATACGCATATAAGGTCAGATAATGGAAGATATCTATTATTCAGACAATGCAAGAACTTGGATTATGAATCGTCATTTTATATAACTGCTTATTTTGTCATTCATTTCTTTGCATACGGATATAAATAAATTGTGCAAACTAAATTTCTACTAGACATTGAGTCCCTAAATTTCTTATCTTATGGGGATCTAGCTAAGTTACTAGATTTTTCACACTCCCGTTATACTGTGGGTCGTAATGTGGTCACCACTATAAAAATTTAGACTATTATCTCACATAAGGGTAGAGCTTGTTGTCACTAAAGGTTTACAAAAGTTAGACTTAGGACAGCGTTAATAAACACTGGGTATGTTACAGTGAAGATTGAAGCTTTCGTACAGATTACAATCTCGGAGATACGAAAAGGCTATAAACGTCTGATGATCTACTTAGTGGAGTTAGACAGTCTTCAATACAATCCCGGTGGTAGTATTCATGATAATCACGTGTTTTCTTTTATGCACCAAAATAATATCACAAGTATATTTTGTGGTAAGAGACAAAGATTTAATATAATTAAGATTCCTGATTAAATGTTTTCAACATTAATAGTTTGTACTCCTCAGCTGTTCAAAGATCATTCAGTGAAAAGAATTCCTCAAATCAATTACCAATACATCATTTGCAATCTGTAAAACGACTTGTAGTCATTGTGTTACTATGTGCAAAAACTTGCTGATTCAAATCTTTACATCGTTATTATGCAAAAACATTCATGTGTAGGCGAAGCCTTAAAACATAAGCCGTGCATTTGAAGCTTCGAAGGATATTACGTTTGTAATATATTTCGAACTACTCACTAGTAGTATAAAACAAATAAAAAAATCGAAACTACAGTTACTAACACATGAGTAAGAAATTTGAGGCTCAGTGATATGGGTAATTATTACGTATAGCTTGATTATTTAATGTAATTGACCTCCTCCGGTACAATCGAATAGAATCTAAACACCACACATTCTTTTCCGCAAGTTGTCTTCATTATGGTTTATTTTATATTGTTACCAACAACTCGGATTAATATTTCTAATGCATAAAATATTTTTTACTCCTACTACATTTAAAATGCAATGAATTTAACATAAGCTTTAAATGCGCTTTACATCCCTCACCGTTATTTAAGTACTACAACTAGATGTGATTACTGGAAGTAATATTTTTTTCAACTTTGAGGCACAGAGTATTACTAGCTTTCCCTTACAAAATAAATTTATGATCTTCTATACAATTAACGAAAATGTGGCCAGATACAAATTTGTGTCGGAAGATGCATATCATTCACGCTCTTATTTATCGTCGTTTATCAATTTATTAAACCTAGTTGAGAAGTTAATACGTTTATGGCGTAGGCGAGATATCTGTCTATCAATCGAAGGACAGGTTTACTGCGCAGCAGTTCGTTCCATCCTACTTTATGGCAGTGAAACATGGCTGCTGAGAGTAGAGGATATTCGTAGGTTACTAGTATTTGATCATAGGTGTCTTCGAAATATTGCTCGTGTATCCTGGCACCACCGAGTAAGTAATACAGTTGTTAGAAAACGGGTACTATGTAAGGATGGCAAATCAATTGATGAAGTAGTGAAACTTCATCGGTTGAGATGGCTGAGACACGTGTTACGTATGCCCAACCACCGACTGTCCCGACGTGCGACGTTTTATGGTGTAGGCGTAGGTTGGAAGAAAGCTAAGGGCGTCCAGACCAGAATGTGGCACAAATCCATAAAGTCACTGACAAGAGGACTGAGCCGTGTTGGTAGATGTAGACTACGTGGTTGGGATCCGAGAGACGATGGCAACCGATGGTTAGAGACCTTGAATGGCATGGCTTAAAATCGTTTGCAATGGCGCAGGTGCATCTAATCTTTGTGTTCTCCCAAATTCTAATCTTCTGAATTGTCCGTGTCTCTTTTTTCCCTTTCCAAATTTATTTCACTGTATTATACTCCCTGAATAACATCTTCAAAGCCAAATGTTTTCGGTTACTGCTTATACTCTTACTAGGTTTGCCACTAATGGATTTGAATCTATAACTGCATCTCCGTGCTAATGTGGTATGGCAACTCGAACTGATGTACGTAAGTGAGAAGTTCTACCTTGTTACTGACTGACTGAATACATAATCCTGTTTTAAGTGTCTATTCGTAAAATCCTTCCCATTATCAACAGAAACTGGCACTTTATCCAGTACATTAATACCAGACGAATCGATTACATTTACGTAACTCTCTTGGTCTACTTTGAGAGTGAGATATGCGTAAACAGTTACTGCAATAACATTTTGAAAATTGATATTACGATCATTTACACGGAAACATAAGATTAGGTGAAAAACAGACTCATAAGTGTCACATCATCGGCTTGAAACATGTTAAAATATTACTCATCCTAGAACAAGTAGGAAGGTATGATTTATTCGCCAGTAAAAAACTACTCTCCCACAATATGAGACGTTAATTGCCTACAATTAACATGATATTTTACCATGCCATGGTCACTACCTATTAAGCCTTAAGTGAGAAGAGACTGAGTAACGAATCTAAATTCTTGATTGCTTAAACTGAGTTATAGCACGTGAATGATTGAAGTGTAAACATAACTCCAGGACGTATCAACTAATCTTTTTCGACTGTCGAAAACTAAAGGGAAACGATGCATTTGTTGTGGTTCAGGTAATTACTTAGCATTATTAAAACCTATCTGGACTCTGACCATGCCTTGGTCTGCGCCAATCTTGCCTTACTTTTCAGTGGCCAACGAAGTGACCACCACCAAAAGATTGATGTTAGCAAGCTGGTTGCAACTTCTGTTGCAAATAAGTATCGAACCGAGCTAGCCTCTAGGCTAGCTACCACTCCACCGAAAAGTATAGATGAGCATTGGTTGCAATTGCATGACGCCATGAAAATGGCGGGAACAGTCAGTTGTGGGTTTGCGAAACGTCCCGCTTTTAAGCACTGGGTTTCTTCTGGTTCCTTACAACTCATTGAAGCCCGTCGGTCTACTCCGGGTGACCGTGAGTTTGACCATAAACGAAGGATGTTATGTAAGGAAATCGGGCAAAGCTTGCGTAAGGACCGAGAAGCCTGGTGGTCGAAGCGTGCTAATGAGCTGGAAGCAGCAGCTGCATCTGGTAATTACCGGAAGCTCTTCCAGCTCATCCGAGCCACTGGCAGCAAGAAGTCTGGTGTGAGTGAAACAATCTGCGAGGATGATGGGATGCCAATCACTAACATCCATCGACGTCTTGGACGATGGGCAGAATTTTTCGAAGGGCAGTTCAACTGGCCTGCTGTTCCGGCAACATCGGTCAGACTGTCCTGCCCTCCATGGCCGGTGACGACTGATCCACCGAACGAGGCGGAAGTCCGCAAGGAACTCCAACTCTTGAAGCGTTACAAATCACCTGGCCCAGATGACTTACCTCCGGCTCTTTTTAAAGATGGTGGTGACTTTTTGACTAAGGAATTGACGACGTTGTTCACAAAGGTTTGGGAACTAGAGAGTGTACCAACGTCATGGAATGAGTCGATAGTTGTCCCTATCTTTAAAAAGGGTTCACGTCGTTCCTGTAACAACTATCGGGGGATAAGTCTACTTCCGATTGCGTCCAAGCTATTGGCTTCCGTCATACTTCGTAGGTTGTTCGAAACCCGAGAAAGATTGACTCGCGAGGAGCAGGCTGGGTTTCGTTCTGGTCGAGGATGTATTGATCATATCTTCACCCTCCGCCAAATGTTAGAACACCGCCATACTTTTCAAAGGCCAACAATCGTAGTGTTTCTTGACATCAGGGCTGCCTTCGATTCGTTGGACAGAACTGTTCTCTGGGATTGTCTATTGAAGAAGGGTGTGCCTGAGAAGTTTATTAACATCCTAAAAGCCCTATATAAAAACACCTCAGGCAGAGTGAGGGCATACAACCACCTCTCTCCATTGTTCCATTCGAGCAGTGGGGTTAGGCAGGGTTGCCCAATATCACCATTCCTCTTCAACTTTGCCATCGATGACATTCTGGAAACAGCTCTGATGAATGTAAGTAATGGTGGTGTGGACCTGTTGCCTGGAGAAAGACTTCTCGACCTTGAGTATGCGGACGATATTGTCTTACTGTGCGATAATGCCCAAGGCATGCAATCCGCACTTAATCAGTTGGCAATCAGTGTCCGTAGGTATGGTATGTGCTTTGCACCTTCGAAGTGCAAAGTACTTCTACAAGACTGGCAGGATTCTAATCCTGTACTCACCCTGGATGGTGAGCAGATAGACGTAGTCGAGAAGTTCGTGTATCTGGGTAGCTGCATAAGTGCTGGTGGGGGTGTGAGTGATGAGATCAATGCACGTATAGTGAAAGCCAGAGCGGCTTATGCCAATCTGGGCCATCCATGGCGCCTTCGTGATGTCAATCTGGCCGTAAAAGGTCGGATCTACAACGCGTCGGTGAGAGCAGTTTTGCTCTATGCTTGTGAAACCTGGCCTCTCCGAGTTGAGGACGTTAGACGACTCTCTGTGTTCGATCATCGCTGTCTCCGAAGGATTGCTGACATCCAGTGGCAACACCATGTCAGTAATGCAGAGGTTCGGCATCGTGTGTTCGGGCACAGAGATGATAATTCAATTGGTGTCACCATCTTGAAACACCGACTTCGGTGGCTTGGACATGTTCTCCGAATGTCGTCCAAGAGAATTCCATGTCGTGCATTATTTGCCGACTCTGGGACTGGTTGGAAGAAGCGGAGATGTGGTCAGTGCATGACATGGTGTCGTGGGATGAAAGAAATCTGCAAAGGGTTGACTTCTGTTGGTCCTTCACGACTCCCTGGTTGGGGTCTGAGAGATGGTGCTACACAGTGGCTAGAGACGTTATCAGATATGGCTCAGAATAGAAGCCAGTGGCGATCCTGCTGTAACCTTCTTTTACTTTCTTCATAAAAAGTGGTTCTGTCTCCCTTACCTGAAAGATTTCTTCCGATTGTACCTTTGCGTTCCCTGATTACTAGCACATTACCTTACACCAATCTCTTCGTTATTGTTCTCTCTTTTTTTTGTTGCGCTCCTTAGCTTTTTTTTTCTTTCTTTGTATTCCTCTCGAATTTTCATTGTTTTGTGTGGCGCATTTATATTGGCGCTCTCCTGTACTAATATTCATGTGTCCAAATAAATAAATAATTAAAACCATACAACCGAATTTCATCATAAACAGAACTCTCTGGTCATCTGTATTCTTGTACTAGATAGAAAAACATACTTTTTCGCATGTATTGTTTGACAGTACGAAAATCAAAAACAATTTAAACGATGTTCGGACCTAAGATTTATTTTATGAAAGTCGATTGTTGATAAGATTTTTAAAAACTAGGCCTAACAGTCAAGTGTTAGTTGAACGATCAATCATCAACAAGCCTGTGACACCTGATTATGTTTATTGTGTTCCCATTCCGTTTATGAGCATGCTATTTTATTACATAAAAATTATTCTGCTGACGTTCATCAATGAAACTTCTATACAACTACCAGACCTCTTACTCTAGTTTGCGGGATAAGGAAGAAGGGGATTGTTAGCGGGACATAGACTAGATTAAAGCATGCTCAATGCATGATTGCGTTGGTGCACGCTGATTGGCTGATTCTTATCCAATCAGCACTAGTCGATAGTCGGAGAATACTCTGGAATCTTCTTATGTAAAAACTATAAATATACCGACGTTTTCCCCTATTGTGCTTCTGACTTGCTATTTGGAATATAATCTTTTTCCTGTTCAACCGTGTTCTGATTTGGGGACTTGTCGAGTGAATCGGTGTCCGACAATACTAAGCAATAGGAATAGCTGGGTCATTAACCGTAAGAAAACAAAGCTATAACAGTGGCGACGGGGAAAAACTAAAGAAAAATGGCGATTTCTTTAGAACAGTTGCGGTTAATATTACAGCACCAGCAGAAGTTGTTAGCCTTGCAACAACAACTATTGAACACACTTTTCACTCGACCAGAAAATAAGAAATCTGTTTATGATGCAGTAACAGACATTTCAGAAGCATATCTAGTGGAGGGTTCAAATCCCTTTATACCTGAATCAGAACGTAATATTTGTAACGTGTCCGGCTCACAGCAAGAAAATACTGTGCTGAATGCTCATAAAGTTGTGGCAATACGAAATGATCAAGAGCCAGACCCTGTAGATGAAGCCCGGAGTCCAGAATTGAATGAAACACTACTGGTCCTGTCTAGCTCTGAAAATAAACTTCAGCTAGAACAAAATTATGGTCCACGTGATATTAGCCGAAAAAGATATGGGGACTCGTATTCAGAAAATAACTGCAGTGACACGATGAACCCAATTATACCGAATGTTACTCAAAATCATTGTGAGACAGAAACTTATATTGAATCAGCTTATCCGATTTCTAATGACAATGTATCAGATATGGGTTCTCAGAACAATGCATGTTATTTTGATGAAATTTCTCATAAAAATCAGGAAAATATAGCAGCTGAGTCAAATTATGGTCAAAAGTCTAATTTAATTTTGTTAGATGATGATTTCCGTAATGATCCATTATACACTGATGAAATTCCTAATGGATTTGAAAGTAATGCTTCAGAAGAATTAAACTTTGACCTCAAACCAAAGGTCGTTCATTATCATCTAGTCGTTTCTAGTGGATTCGACATTCAATGCGAGAAACGTCGTTTAAATAAAGTCCTATTATTTGTAACTTGGAGATATAAGGATCCGACATTGTTTCGCGGAGGAGGAGAATGTTGGAGAATTAAAAGTTATGCATGCTTTTTTTAAGAAAAATCAAAACGCCGGGAACAGACATGTCAGTCTCTGTGCAAGGAAAAAGTGATAATTCTTCATTGCCTAGACGATGGACTAATCGAAAGCACAAGCCAGTCACTTAGTTGCAGTTGGACCCTAGCACCAGATCCTACGAATCTGCTCAGAGGGGAGGTGTTAGCGGGACATAGACTAGATTAAAGCATGCTCAATGCATGATTGTTTTGGTGCACGCTGATTGGCTGATTCTTATCCAGTCAGCACTAGTCGATAGTCGGAGAATACTCTGGAATCCTCTTATGTAAAAACTATAAATATACCGACGTTTTCCCCTATTGTGCTTCTGACTTGCTATTTGGAATATAATCTTTTTCCTGTTCAACCGTGTTCTGATTTGGGGACTTGTCGAGTGAATCGGTGTCCGACAATACTAAGCAATAGGAATAGCTGGGTCATTAACCGTAAGAAACCAGGGATATAACAGGGATACAAGTAGTCTCGCTTACGGTATTGAAGTTGGAGTTGCAAAGAGTAGCTTGGCTTGCGAGAATATCGAATTTTTAGTTAGCCAGCTACTCAAATGCTTCCAAAATTACACTAATTATTAAATACCTTAGATTTATTCCCTCTAAAGTGGATTAAGCGTATTTAAAGATAAACATTAGTAACTTCAGTTTATTGAGAAATTTCATTTTAAATAAAATCAAAATATAAGGATCATAAAACTATTCAACAGATAAGAAAAGAATCTGAAACAATTCGGAAAGACTTGTTACTTATAATTATTAAAAATATTTTCAAGACATAATGTTTGACGGAATAGGGGAATTATCGAAAAAGAAGCTAGCTGATACAATTTGTTCATCAGGATTATTAGAAATGTGAGGTTTTGGATTTCTTATTGTTCCCCATACCCAAATCCAATATAACGCTCCGATAATAAAAAATACAGCACCAAATTCAATTTTTATGGCTATTAACCATAATAACAGAGTAATAATGAATTGTACATACCATAAATTCCAGATGGCAGTAATTCTAGCTAATTTCTACACAAAAATACGTATAATCAAGAAAATTATTAAATTTAAGTAGTTGAATGTAATATTAAAGTACTTATGGATTCTATTAAAATATATTAAATATATAAAAGTAAGTAGTCAAAATTTGTGAGGGAAAAAATGAGTTTACCAATCTGTTGTTAAATTTTTCGAAAATAGAAATGTACGGATGAATAATTTATTTGATCTTTATTTTGATAGAGGTGACTAATTGTAACTGGGAAATAAAACCTAGCACAATACACTGTGGCAGAATGAGTGAATGGTGATGGTAAAAATTTATGGTAATCTATTACGTCAATATTTCATCAGCAACACACACTGTCAGAAGTTTTAAATTTTCTATGGATTCTATCACTAACCACCAACTAGATATCTAGTATTACAGTTGCTTATAATCCGTTCATTCAACAGAAAAGTAAGCACGCCTTGTTAGTTATAAATTAAATATTTAAACGGTGATATTAATTCGTAATAACACTTCACTGAGTCATATAAATATGTAAATAGGATTAATATACATAGACCACTAAAAGTGGTATTCTAGTACAATATAATTAGAATGTAAGTGAATCAGTCATTTTTTGCCTCAAAGATTAATTGGATACATCTTTTTTATACTATTATGATTCAAAACATAAATTAAAAATAAATATATTACTGTAGATGATTCTTTTACCACAGAACTGTTGGCAGGTTCTTGAAGTACATTAATGGTTGGAGGTTTTAACTCTGGAGTTACTGGATTTGCTAGACGATAAGCATCCAATTGAGCTTTAATTTCGAAGTAAGAACGTTGTTTAAACTCGGGTACCATGTAATTAGTCTGAAAACATTTTATTAACAGATGCACGTTACTAGGTGGGCTAGGATATATATATATCAAATATATGCCATGGCACAATACAGTACATTAGTCACTGTTACGAAACAAGCTTGAAACCAGTGATGATTTACATGTGATCATAAATGAAGTTTAGAATCCCAGAAAACGCTTGTACGAACACTATTAAACCGAAAACGCCTTGAAAAGTGTTGTTTTAAGGATCGTAAGAACCATATAGAATCAAAGTACCGGTCATTGATTTCCATTTACAGACCTTCAAACCACCTCACTAACCGACTATCGAACGTAGCATACATTCTTTTTAGCGCTAAAAGTGAGTCTTTAAAATCGTACGTATGCAAGTGAGATAATTGATCCTCTAAATTTTATAGTTAATTATAGACAGCAAAGACGAACTTAGGCTATAATTATGAAAGCTTTACCATGGAAGATTTAACTATATATACGGATTTCGTCAAGATTAAAAAGAACGTGAAGACGACAAATCCATTTTTCTATATTTCAGGACGAACGGCTAGTTTTTAAACACTAACCAAGTTTAAACCATCTCAGTTTGGGGATAGTCCAGGGCTTCGGCGTAGTTCATCAACAAAACATTCAACATTCCTTTCATTAGGAAATATGGGAGAAAGCTAACTAGTAAATTTAGTTGTAACCATATTCAACTTATCCATGAGAACAAAGTTAATATATATCATGTTTAGCTCTTTGTAACTTCATTATTACAACCGAAATAGACTATAGGTCACCAGAAAATAATGTAATCAGCATCTAGTAGGAAACTCCCGTATAATTAATGACCAGGTTGCTGTGGTAATTTTCACTCAATGTGATTCTCCCAAAATTCAGATAAAATATACTTCGCAATCGTTTTCCAATTTAATCTAGCTGATTGTAAAGCTCATTAGGTTTTCTTAAACCTTGAGTCGTAAGAAAGTAAACCCTGATATTACTAGGCTTTAATTAAGCGGTTAAAGGGACTGTCCGCACATAACAACTACACAACAAGAGTACAGCCATGGGTCTCCAATTTGATTATGAGTGTCTAAAATGATAGAGGAAGACTAAGCGAAAGCCATGCGCGATTACTTTGGGACGGTCTTTATTTATGAGCCTGAACTTGACGAAAGACTAGGGCCAGAATCAATATTACTAAGTCGATTACTAACAGGAGTGAATGAGATACGCCCTAAAATTATGAGATTCATTGCGACATATATTGCTACACTGTTCACTAGGATATTCAGTGTCATTCATCCAGAGTTACATGTGGAATGGAAGGGTACAACTAACACTCCATTTCACAAGGCATAATAAAGACAATTTCTCTTGAAGTGCAGACTCATCAGCCTCACCAGTGTCGTGGTTAAAATATCATAAGGAATGAACGAAAAGATAATTACTTAGGTGAAAACCAACACACTTGTTACACAATGAATGAAATGGCTTCAACAAAGGAACACCACATACGACTAAACTAATAGTAAGACAGAGATGGACGGAGTTATCTGATAATAGAAAATAAATAAGTCATGTTTACGTTAACTTCATTACATCATTTAATAAGGCACCACATAATAGACTTCTAATAAAACTTGGGAAACTCAAGAATTAGTGCAGCTCTGATAAATCGGATTAAGGTCTTCCTAGTGGTTCGTCGACTACAAGAATAAGACGCAAATGTTCTTCATAGAAACCAATACTTAGTGGAGTGGCTCAAGGCTTCCTACTAGGTATTTAACTTTTTATACTCCATGCGAATGAACTCCCAAGTATAATTAAGTTTCTAAAGCTACTTTGAGCTGATGGCATCGAAATCTGGAAAGAATTAAGGAAGGGTGGAAGTGCATGTGGACTCCAGGCCGAACGAAATGCTCTAGTTAGCTGATCAAAATTATGGTCAGTGCGTACCAATACGACTAAGTGTTAACACATATATTAGACATATACAGACAAATAACGACAGAATCGAATACAGTGGTCTTGAGTGCTGTTAGAGGTATGAGGGCGGTTTTCACTTCCCGGTTGCCCACACCGTGGAAGGGGCCTTCTGGAGGTACCTGAAAAGGAATTTGGATTAAAGGTGGTCTTAGTGACCTGAGAGCGTGACCGCAGTGCCCAAGGGACAACTGCTTGAGGTCGGTCACACACGACCTTGTTATGGGTAATTTTTGTGTTAGCTCCGTACTTATTGAGACCTTACCGCCGGAGACGGATATCCGTGGTCGACCTTTTCTAACCCCACCCCTCCTTGTGGGAAGGCAGCATCGCTGTCATGCTGGTTGTCTGAAGGAAACACCTTACTGCTGTCACACCTCTGTACAGTCAGCAGTACGACTTCGCCTTCGGACCTTGGGTTTGTTGCTTTTAGTCTTACCGCTCTTCAACCGACCTGTCTGACATGGTAGGACCTTGAGGAACGGTTGTTCCAGCCAGTATAGCTCGGTTGCTTCATCACGATAGGCAAGCCCGACCACCACGTCAAGGTAGCAACAACTCCCTGTCTTCCCTTAAACCAAGAGACTAAAATCACTTCATTCTTTCTTTCTACGAACTAATTCTTTCTTCCTATACTATATCCTTATTGCAACCTTTGACCTAACCACTCCTATGAATCCGCTGTTCATCTTGCTGTGCTAATGAGGTATGGCAACCTGGACCGATGCACATATGTGCCTGGTCCTACGTTGTAGCTGACTGACTGACTGACTGAATCGAATACTTCTGTACTATAAGTCTAGTTTCGCAATGGTTTAGGGATAATAGTGGGCCACGACCTTAAATCACGGCTCGCTGCCGAGGTTACAGTCAAACAGTTTAGAACCTATGGGCGTCAATATGGATATTTACTGAGCTGGACACAAAGGGGTTCATCACGATATACACAACTTTACTGAAATCCGAACCTGAGGACCGGGTTTAGGCTGCAAGCTTACTTAAAAGATGATTCGTGTATCTTAGAAACAGGGCAAAGCAGTCATAAATCTAAAAATATTCGACTTTCCATGCACAATTAAGCCAGATAGATTGGACCTCATTACTCCGTCTTATCGCAGATTAAGTGGTGGTCCGAATTTGACGTATAGAATACAGACAAATGATTTCAGATGTGATGATTCCCCTATTTTAGTTTCTACTAGATAAGGACAGCTCAACTGTGGTTGTGGACGGAATAGATGCTTTCGCCTAACGGACTTCCGTACCTAGTAGCAGTGGATCACTAATGCCACTAAGTAAGGACCTAGGTTTATTGACGACAAAAGAGGGAACAGAGAAAAAGAAAATCACAACGATACAGTCCTTAATCGTTAAGTATACATCGTTTCCTCTTAAAGGACTCCTAGGAAGTCACTTGGACTAGCACAGCTGGCAATGAATTCCAGTATTTGATTACTCTTAAGGAGTAGGTGTTTCTACAGTCCGTTCTGCTGTGTTGATTCTCCAGTTTTTGGGTGTTACCCCTACAGTTTGCGTCGGGACGAAGTTTAAGTGGATGTCCAGAAATGTTTAGTATGCTATCAATCATAGGGTCACATCTACGACGCCTGTACTCTAATGGGTAACGGTTCAGTGATTGATGGCGCTCTTCATAAGACTTATGAAGTCTTGAACTTCAGTCCCCGAACTTACTTCGTGGCTTGCAGCTGAATACGCTCCAGAGTGTCCTCATTCTTTTGGAGTGAGAGAGGAAATACTATATTTCTGTACTCGATGGACGAACCAATCAGATATAAGATAACAGGAGTTGGATTTCAGTGAGAAATTAATTCATTCATCTCACTAAACAGCGCCTTGGCGTTTTAACTGTCAGTTCATGATGAAAGCTAAATCTAGATCTTAACCCAAGCAACCAATAAAGGGGAAATAAAGACGAAAAAGGGAAAATAAAGAGGACGAAAGCCCAAATAAAAGGGGAATGTCGCTTTTTCGCCTTCACATCGGTTATTTAAGGTAAATGTCGACTTTTCTACCTTACGTCGCGTATTTGGGGGATATTTGTCAACAACTATACGTAACGTACCGTCTTTGAATATGCCGCATCCCGTACTTATGTTTTCATAAACGCCAAATGGTTGTGGACAGAATAGAAGAAGCTTTCGCTTAACAGGCTTCCGTGTCTAGTAGCAGGGGACCACCAAATTCTCCAGGCAGGAGCCTAGGTGTGTCGGAGCTAGGGGGGAAGTACTATGTTTCCGTACTCTAAGTGGGGACGGATGAAACTATTAAAGATTATATGGAATGTTCTTCCGTCGAACTGTCCAAAAATGCGCTTCAACATTACCAGTGCAAGGTTTGCTCGGAAGGCATTTTCGTCACAGGTAGCGTAAGATTTTAAATCATGGGGCACCAGGACTCCTAAATCTTTTTCTACTTGAAATACTACCAGGGAGGAGTTTCCCAAGTTATAACTGTAGTCTGCGACATCTCGCAGATGGACCACTTTACACTTTGAAGTGTTAAAAGCAAGTCCATTATTATCTGCTTGACTTTGGAGTCGAGTGGGATCCTCCTGAAATGCCTGTATTTCGTCTTGGTTGCGTATCTCTCTCCAAAGCTTCACATCATCGGCAAAGAGTAACAATTCTGACGTTACCTGTTGAGGAAGATCATTTATGTAGATCAAGAAGAGGAGAGGTCCTAGTACTGAGCACTGGGGAACCCCACTAGGACATTCCATAGCCTGAGATAAAGTGAAATTAATTCTAACCTTAAAGTGTCGATTTTTCAGGTATGAAGTGAACCAATCGATTAGAGGTGGTCTGATACCTAGTCGTTTGAGCATATGTTCCTTATATGTTTATATTGCCTGTACGCTCCGTCGTTGTCAGTTCGTTTGTATTCCGCCTAACAGTGCCTTTTGCGGCTTAGCAGGCGAAGGGTACGGTTCTTGATTATTGTAGGTGGCTTGCAGCTTTTGGGAACCGTTTGAGGAACTGAATGCTTTGTAGCACATATGTGTGTGTGCAGTAAGAAGTCCCAATGACCGTCCACATCGAGTTGAGGGTGAACATCCCAATACACCTGTTGTACATAGTCGTGTAGAGCTGTCACATTCAACCGTTTAAAATTCCAACGCAAGTTATTGGTGGGGTATCTTAGCTTAGTTGTGCTGACAAAACTGAAGGCTATGACGGCATAATCGCTTTTTACCAAGGGAGCCAGGATTGAGAAGTTGTCAACTAGGAATTCTTCGTTTGTGAATATACAGTCTAAGCGCGATGGTGTCTGACTGTTTCTCCAACGAGTTGCCGACCTCACATTTTCGTATAATCCCAAGTCATCGATGAGGTTGAAGAACCGAGCTTCAATTGGGTTATCGCCTGCAGTATACGTGTGATCTGTGAAGTTGACTCTAGGGAGACTAAAGTCCCTTAGAATCAGGATGTGTGTGAAACCGAGACGAGTAGAGCGGCATAGCCCTTCCAGCATATGACTATCGTACTCAATGTTGGCTTCCTGTAAATGACTCCGACTCCGACTAGACACCATGAAGTACTAGACAATCTTACAGAGCACCATATGGATTCCTCAAGATTGTTAAACTCGAGGTTATGAACTTGATGCACCTCCAGACAAGAACGTATGTATAGAGCTACTCCGCCCCCAATTCCTGATTTTCTGTCATTGCGGAACAAAGTCATCTCAGGTAATGCTAACTCTTGGTCCGGGAACTGGAAAGATATCCAGGTTTCAGATATTCCTATCAGATGGGCCTTGTTAGCGTTGCTAAGTTCACGTGACTCATCTAGTTTGTTAGGTAGACTCGCGGCGTTCATATATAAGCAGTTTATGCTTTCAATTTGGAACGCGTGAGCTTCGTCCTGTTTGTCTGTATGAGCCTTACGTGAATGGACAGGTAGCTCACCTATATGAGATTTGCCGAGGTGGTAGGCTTTGTCCTTTACACGTTTTTTATCATCTAGACAGTCCAAAATAGGAATGGTCAGCCCCATCTTGCCTTTGTGTTTGATCTTAGCTTCGTATGGCCTATCCGGGTGCATGTGGATTCCAGGTGGTAAATGACGTCTGTTTGCACGAAATGCTTCCAGGGTTGCAGCCGCCCTGTGGGAGGATGGGAAGGTTATCTTCACTAGACGGGGTCTAGGGTCACCACCCTTCTTGGCTAGTCTCGGCACATTCTGAGTCAGTATGTGTTTGAGCCTCAAGGACTGTTTAATGAATTTCCATTCCCTGATGTCAGAGTTTGATTGAGTAGGGTCCGTATTTTCCGGTATACCTTGCACAATTATGTTTCTTCCGCGGAAAAACTCGCGAGATTCTTTAGGAGTGTTCCGTATGACACTGCGCCCAGAGTACGGTATGTCGGGCAATATTCTTATGTTACCATCGGATTTCAGCAAGTGACTTGCTAGCAAGACGTCCTCTACGTCGGTAGCATTCTTATGTGTTACTCGAAGAAGCCTCGGGTGATTTAGATGCTAAGAATCCTTTCCTCGAGTGAGCCAGGTGACCGTCAATGGCTCTATTCTAGGAAGTTTGAGCTTCTTGTTTAGTTCACCCCAAAGCATCCTATCATTTTTGTCCTACAGACTGAGAGGACGGTCAGGATTGTCAATGAGATTCATGATTATTAGAGAATCGTCACGAACTGTTGTTGATTTACCAGGTTTACCGAAGGGTTCAGGTTTAATACCTTGTTGTTTGGAGGTCAAGGCACGTTTTTGAATCTTGGGCTCTTTGATGACTGGACGAACATTCTTGGGGGTTGACTGTGAGACCAAATCACCAGTTGTTTTCCGTACGACAACACTTGGGATACTCAGCGTAGGCGGTGATACCTGGTTCTTTTGGGCTCTGCTAACGTAGGCCGAATCACCTACAGGGTTTTTGGGAACCACTGTTGTGTTCAGGGACCCTGAACTGGAAAACCCAAGTTTACTTAGGGAGTCTAATACCGTCGACGTAATGCAGTTGCTGAGCTTCAACACGTCATCGTTAGTGCTATTGGATGCTCCATCGATGGTATACCTGTCGACATTCCTGTTCTCGTTTTCAATGCGCTTTCTTGTTTGTCTACCCATTTTTTGACTGTCTTTTCCCAAGTTTGCCGACAACTTGCTCTGCAGACCTGTCAGTAGGACAATGATATTATTCAGCAAGACTGCAGCATCCGTGCTGCACGTAACACATTCCCACTTATGATCCGGCTTGCTTAGTCTGTGTAAGCAACTGCTGTGAGATCTGTGCACGCTTCGTGGAACCAACCTTTGCAGTTGTCGCATTTCATGCCATTTGTAACAACAAAACTGCATCCCGGACGTTTGCATGAGTTTTTCATGACTATGTTGAAGCAAACTATGTTATAGATGCTTGCAATAGTCTAAGACCGTAAAAAGACATTAAAAAGCACACTAAAAACGGACAAAATGGATAAAAACGGATAAAAACGAGTGTGATAAAATGAATTAGTCTTTACGTGAAAAACAAAAAACCGAATAGTAAGCTGAGGCAAAAACCACAGTTAACTATTAAATATAGTGAAACTAAAAAAAGTAATCGACCGAAGGTATTGCTCAGGAGAGATTCTTTAGAACTGAAATGATACTTTTGTTGCGTAAGAACACAGAAAAAGCTTGATAAATACAAATCACGTTAGGACTAAACTTCCCGTTCAAAAAGCGCGCCTACGTTAAATCAACAAAGTTACGCATCGCTTAATAAAAAAGCAAAAGTATTGTCATAAACACAAGTAACAAAATACGAACACAGACTTCGTCTTTTGTTTAGCTAAAGTGTTTCGACGTGCTTGGTAGCCATCACAAATAACAACCGTGATGCAAGTGAGTGACGTGCTCTCCGTTCTTCATGTTCATTATAACTAATTACCTTTTTAGTCCAATACTATGAGTTCGAATAAAGTCACTGATAGAGCTCGTAAACGTACGGCCACTATTGGCCGTCATAGATCGACTTATTACAGACGGTAGAATAAAATACGAACAGCTTTCATGAAAAAATCATAACTTGCTTTCGTTTAGTCAGTTTGCTAATGAAAGCACAGTCAAAGGTAGCTGACTTCAACAGTGATGTATGTTAATTGATAGCAGTCGAGAGAAAAGTTAATTGTAGTGAGAGTACTTCAACTAGCGACTAGCTACAGCAATCAAAGGCTTCTAGACAATAATGGTATGTATATGAAGTGAATACGTTAATATATTTTTTATAGGATGTAATGTCGTTAATCTATGCTCTCAAAAGTCCGTAAATCGTAAAGAGCAGATCAACAATGTATTGATGAAATCATTTACAAAAAGCTTTCTCAGCATCAGTGATGCTGGTCGAAATCTGCATAGTTTCCGAGACCTGGTCCCGGACTTACCAAGGAGCATCAGACGTGTCCTGAAGACATGTACAAGTGTCCAGTCACAGTTCATCAGCAGTGGGGTTTACTACTACCTCGGATTGAAAGCCAATCTGCTAAGATATGTTGAACTTTGAATGTGTACTTTGGATTTTGATACTTTAAATTTGTATATTAATGTAGATGGACTTCCTATGTTTGGGAGTTCTAATCAACATTTATGGCCTATATTAGGACGGATCGTTGCCCCAAGGTTTAGTGACGTGTTAATGATATAGATCTACGGAGGGAATAGTAAACCGGCAAAATTCAACGAATTTTCTAATGACACAATCTCTGAAATAAAAGAAATGAGTGACTTGGGTCAGTTTAGTGCTAAGTTTAATAAGTACATGTAAATTTATTTAAACATATACCATTTTCCACGTTGATTGCAGTTTCAGTGCAGTGTTTTATGGGAATAAAGCGAACATGGGAGACCTTTGGGGTTATACTAATGATGTTCTCAAAGTTGTAGCAAAAGTAGAGAATTCGGCGTATATATAGGCGAAAAGTAAACAATTCAGCGACATGTGAGAGATAGAACGACAAAAAGGGGAAATCCGCATTGTTTCCGCCGAACAAGCGAAAAAGCAGACATTTTCGCGCGTTTCCCATTTATTTCCGCTTTGTTGCTTGATTGGGTAACCACCAGCTGTAAATCATAATTCTAAATACTCATATTGCTTTATAGCCGACATTTAGTCCTAATTGATAGGTGGGTCACTTTAGAGTCGCTCAAAGGTCGTCCACAAATTATATTCTCACAATACAGTCGCAGAAACTTACAAGACAATGGTTGACATAAGATATTACCCCTCAATACACTAGTTTGAACCACTGACTTTGAAGAGCCCCCTCAATATCCAATATCATTGCAGTGAGCTTGATCCAAAACAGTGATTGCAGAGCGCTCGCTTCATGTTGTTTTGGTGGGGTTCATGAGTCCGATGACGTCCAATGCTGGATTGTCTATCACTTTGACTCTATTAGACTCAGTCAGTTCTGTAGTTTTGGTGGGTTCGTGTTAAATTTTTATTTAAGTGTTTTTGTTTCTCTGAAGTAAAGTTTCTCGAACCAGTAAACATCACATGAACAAAGAAGAGGTTGGTTAGATAAGGTTTGAGGAATAACAATAGAGGAAATATTCAAATTCTGTACGTAAGATAAAAGAGATTGCTTCACGAAATAAATAAATAATTTAATAATAATCTTAAAAACATGGTGAGATCGAAGTGTAAGAATCGTAGATAAGTTGTGAGACATGGATCAAGCGTAAATAATCAAAGTCGGAGGTGATAACGCAGATAACTAACTTCTAATGATTTTAAATCCTCTTCACTTTCATCTGATTTGACAGGATGATTGTCAATTTCACTGCTTGAATTACTGAATGATTCATTGTTATCACAGTCAGGTTGATTATTTTGTATACTATCTGAATTGTGAACAACTTGAGTATCCCGTACAGATTGTGGGATTTTAATTAAATTTGACAAATGATCACGTTCAAGAATTTGGTGATACTGACTTGGTTTGGCGTCATCTCCCTATGATAAATATAATGAAGTTATCATTACTATAACTAATAACAAGAAGATTAAAGAGTTTAAAATTTATACTGATTTACAAGAAAATTTTGTAATGAATTAGAGGACTGCACTGACAAAACAGTATAGGACTTCACATAAAAGTACAGAAGTTCAAGATGCTGGCAATGGGTAGGGGTAAAATGAGAGAAAAACAAGACATACAACGAATAAATAAACTAGTCAGAATTTAAAAAAGTGAGTAATGAACACTCCCGTCCTGTAGTGGTGAATTTTGTGAGCCGCCACTGACCTTTCTTATTCTAAAGAACCTCAGTCGTAAAGTATACGTAATTGATTTGCTAGGTTCTATGTTCCTTATGATTGACAAACTAACGTGCGCGAATACCATGAGGTGATTTGACCACACTTTTTTTCAATCTACTTATATCAGTGGTTGTTAAACATGTGTAATACATATCATAGCCAGTACATTTGGCACAATGGTACATCAGTGACTGAGTTGGCTCATGTAACTAGAGCTCTAAATTTTGCTTCAACACTGCATATTCAGTTCAACTTATGGCATTGATGTTTGGAACATAGTTATGATCGAATACCTATAACTCTGCCGTCACATGTCTTTAATAAGGTAAATATTATACAACATTAAGGAAGAACGGATTACATTCCCATGTAATAAACTTATGTTTCCTGACAATACCAACAATTAATGTGTCAGCAGTTGCGAGTAATTTTTGTCTGTTATGGAGTTTAAGTGAAATCGAACAATCTATAACAAAACTGGTTGGGTACTCAGAATAACAGGGGAAAATAAATATTGGTGCAATAAATTATAATTTAGTGTTTCGAATAATGACTGTCAAGCTAATTTACAAATAGTACGACGAGGATGAATCGACATGAAAACAGCAGTAAAAGTGTTGAAGAAAATTGATTTGAAATGAATATTGTTAAGATATTTGCGAAAATATAAACAACAGGAGCATCTGGGATGTCACGTATGAGTGACGCTTTGACGGTGTAATTAATGAAATGCCTTAAAGGTTCTCATGATTTAGAATTTAATTTAATGTATTTGATGACCATAAATAAAAATAAAACCGTAGTTATGAATAATAATAATGATAATAATCCAGGGATCGATTTTTTCGGGTTCAAAACTACGAATCGGACAGATTCGGCCATGACAAATGACATGCCTTAACGAAGTAAAACCTATGAATCTGTGTCTATAACAAGCAACTTAACATGTTTCGAATTCGTGACAATAATAAAAAAGCGCATATGTCGACAGTCTTTATCGGAATTGATACTTCACTTTTCCACGACATCGTGCTTGGTGACTAATCATTACCGAGTGTTTTTGGAGTAGCGCCATGTTTATGCTGCGATCAAGTTCCGGATACAGCTTTGATGTATTATCCTAGCTCGTCTACTTCTATCACTTGACCATGTGCTATTTCTTCGACTTCGAGGATTAATTTTGGAAATTCTCAAGGTAAATGATATATTTTTACAGCTCTCCGGAGTGGTTTTCCAACAGTTTTTTGTCAAAGTTTTACTTCATACAACGTAGTTTGTTTAGTCCAGTATTTGGTAAGTCTGCATGTAGTTTGAATTACGTTGTGAGCTGAGAGAGTGTACAGGACAACCCGTAAGAAGTAAAAAGGAGGAACAATATAGCGTGAGTTATTGGCTTATTAAGCACAAAAGATTCACATGTATTCATTGATAAAGGAATACAGGCGAAAAATTGGGATATCCGATAAAAGTCTTAAATGAAAAAGGTTTTCTTAAAAAACCTTACGACCCTAAATTTTCCCTATCTAAAGGCTGTGAACTAGAGAAAGTCTGGGACAGGCTGAGGAGTGGTCTCTTCAGCTATTGTGAGGATTGTCCTGAGCTGAATAGAATACACTTCAGTGTCATTTGGCCTCAGTCAAAGACATGCGATGGAGGCACCAAGGCTACGTTCCCGCTAGTGACACACGCTGCACAGGCAGAAAGCCCACAGAAATCATGTATCATAGCACTGATTATATAAACTTGAAAAATAGTCTGTTGCCGCAGGGGGACACCAGGTGATATGAAAAGTCATCGGTTGTCTTTATAGCAACATATGAAGACCAAGCGCTATAATAGGAGGGATCGAAAACATGAACATTCGAATGGATCAAATTACAGATCTGAATAAAACACGGGTTTCTCTCAACATCAAGGACAACGAAGTGGGCAAGCAATGCATGACATCTTTCAGATATGAAAAGATACACAAAACAGGAGTCACGATATGTATAAACATCCAATTCAAAGAAACACTACCAAGTAAGACCGAACAAACCGAGGCGATGAAATCAAGCCAATCTTGTTCCAGTGTGAACGTCGACACCTGGTTGGAGGAGAATATGTGGGTTTTACACAGGTGCTTAAGGCCAGAAACACAGTCCAACCAAAGTGCTATCGTAACTACTACACTCAGAAGTCAGACAGATCATCGCAGCCAAAGACGTAAACAATTACGTCAATATCAACGAACTGAATATAACCTTTAAAAAGTGATTCCGTAGTCGTATTGTGAAAGTCATTAGGGGCTCAGAAATGAATAAGCATATGAGTGACGTCACGGTATGAGGTGACGGCGAGAAACCCCCAAACGTAGACCGCCTACTGTTAAACGATCTGCCCCCAGTTGAAGGTCTCCCTGTGAAAGTGCCAATCAGCAGTAGTGACCGCGATACAGTCATATTTGATTCCATCACAAACGAGGTGCTTTAGAGGTACAAGGATACTTCTTACGTTCTTCGCTTCAGAAGAGACTACATATACATGTGTAAGAGCCTTCAAAAGGCCATAATTGCTGGAGGCCAACCATGGATGGACAGTGGGAGACCGCAACACATATTATTCAAAAGGATGGCCTGTGCAGTACCCTTTAGACTGAAAATATACCTGTCAAATCAGCATCATATTTGAAGTGAGATACAGAACAGCTGATACAAACAAAAGAGAGCCTGAGATAAATAGGAAGCCTTCCTAAAAGATCCTGGCTGTAGCTAGATTCAGTGCCAAAGCGAAGGGTGATAAAATATATTTACGTGTCAAGCTAGTGATTAAGACACGTGTTAGTCTGAAATACGAACATAGGTTCATGGAAGAACGCACATATACACGCAAAAAGATTCGCGAATCGAAGGAGCATAACGGTGTGGATCCTATTATTCTGGAGATAGCAGAAACCGTTAATGCCAAGGTCAAAATTTAGGGTATCGGAATGTCACGATATGGACATTTAGCCTCATGAGACTCAAACAACTTGAGTCCCACATCGAAATTCCTTCACCGTTGTCTCCACAGAGCGCAATCCAGGACAATTAACCACAGAAAACATAAATGCCCTCCCAAACTACATTGAAAATGTGAGCAAAACAAACCCACGTCTCTACGCAGAATCACATTTATGCTGTCACCCCAGAATTGTTTCAAACATCCTTTAAAACATGTACATGGCCTCGCCTCGAAGCTTTCAATGTTGTTTTGTTCTCTACTCAAAACAGATATGAATATCTTAGAACCGACCCAGAAACGACAAACGAAGTAGGTGATGGGGTGCGAAAAAAACTCCTACAGAAATGAGCTCCGATATTTTGGATTATTCTCGTGGGACTATCAGAGAGTAAGAGGTGACCTGATAATGGCTCACGATACTAATTACGCCAAGTCACCCTTACGTGTGCACCCTTTCAGAACCCCGCCCCCGCGCCCCTCAATACAGAGTCCGGAAAACCATACGCCGAGACGCAAGGACTCAGATACGAACTCTCTTTTTTATCACAATTTGTTTTCCCTTTCACTGCTCTCCCAGATGAAGTGACCACCGGGCTCTCCGGTTGGTATGTAGCGTGGCGTCGAGTTGAGGTTAACTATGGACACCGCTACCAAGAAACACGTGTCAAATAAATCAGAAGGCGAAGGTTGGACGTAACCAAAGAAATCCATAAAATCTCCGAGAAGCCAAATACCAGAAGGCAATTAATGGACCAAATCGAGATATATATTTGCTGGCGATCTCGTGGTATCGAAAGGATACCGAGATCGTGCCAGGATACAAGCTTGGTTACAGAACGTAACCGAATTCGCGCGAAGTTACAATCAAAGTGTGTGTATAAGAATGGAAGCACAAAATAGCTGTCATTAGCACAGTCAAACAAAAGCATATTAAAATAAACACTGGTACAGTTGGTTATAATAATGATTGTTTTTATTAAACCAGTCGTGTTCTCGTGATAAATGTGAGTCACTACAGGTAGCACTTAGACGAGGCTTAACCGACGGATTATGATCTCGCACTTAGACTATTTGTGCCTGATCCATATTTCACAACTTATTTACCATTATTAGTACCACATAACTCCAGCCTATTCCAATCTCGAATATTGTCACGTTTATTTACCTGTTGTTCATACACTTCGACCTTCTCTTATTGTTTAGATTACAATGAAATAATTTATTGAATTATTTACTTCCAGAAATGGTCGCCTCTTCTTAGTGTTCGACTGCAAATCGTTTAATAATAACCCAACGGACTATGATTTATGTAATCGACTGCCTTTTTCATCACCTATAAGCCACTTCCGAAAACCTTGGGTCTCACGGAAATATTAGGAAGCGGAAAAGCGAAAACCTCAACTTGTTTATACTGGCTTGTGACAAGGATATTAGACTTATTTGTGTATCGTTTTAGAATAGCATCAGAACAAGTTGTTACTATGTCAACGTTATAGTCATATATTTAAATGTCGAGGTCAAGCGATAGCCTGACACTGGAAAATTCATTGAACGCTTTTGAAAGCGAAGAGATACTTCAAGCTTTAGCAGTTGCTGGACTACTGAGTCAAGAGAAGCTTTATCTGGAGCTTACAAACGAAGCCGTAAATTTCGCGAGAAAAGAAAAGTTTAGTTTTTCGCAGTTATGCGCACTCGTTTCGATAATTAACAGGGTGTTGAAAGAACTTTCGAGTAAGGAGTTCGGTGATAATAAGTAAAACCTCAGGTTCTCCATACGACGACATACAGAATGTCCTAGATGTATCGGACAAAATTATGATGAGTTACTCTATCCAGGTATTGTGACGTAACTCCAAGTTTTACTGTAGAGGATTATCTCAACAGAGGCCACCCCACTGCATTGAGTTATTTTCGATCGCTGATTCTTTAAAATGCGTTGAATTTCTCGTGGACTCATTGTTTAGACATTGGAGACTTTACAAGTTCGCTTTAGCTCCAACAGCACGCCTTTTACCTCAGCTCATTTACGATACAAAAGGTGAGTCAGGGATTAATAACCGACAGTTGAAGTCTTAATATGCTATTTACAAATACTTCTTATAATCAAGCCTTAGTTGTTTACCCGAAGATCTGTTAGTTGTGTCCCATGTATAAAAATCCTCGAATACAGACTAAAGTTTTATTGATGAAATATCAAATCCACACGAATGTTTTTGAAATCCATAATTGTCTATTCAACTTCTGTTTGCAAGGTTCTCACTGAACATTAAACGACAGAATCCTAACTAGCCATCAATTCATATTCCATTCATCACTTAATTTGTATCACTGAGGGTCATTTGGTGTAAGATATTAAAACTTTTGTAAACAGAAATGAAAGAGCCCAATCACAGTAAACATCCTGACATTCATCACTGAAACAAAACACTATTAGGAAAATAGACTCTTTACTAAGGTTATAAACTTTATTAGTTTATATCGTCACTGTGCTTAAGCTTTATACAGCTTACAAATCGAACCTTAGCCACTGAATTTGAAACGACTCTAAGCTCCCAAACTATTTGAAAATGAATTTCGCGATTGTAGACTTATCCCATGTGACATCAGGTTTATGGATTTATTTTGGTCAGAAATTGTAAAAATGTTTTCAGATTGAAGATGTGGTGACCAATGCGTTTTATTAGGCTGACACTAAGACAATAAACTCGTGATCCAAAATAGCCCTTTTAGTATACAACATATTAAAATGTCTTGTTATTCAAACTTTCATTTAAATTCTCTTCGATTGTTAAAAACTTTTTGACAGATTGTGAATCGGAAATTGTCGACTTGAAACCATCAGGTAAAATGAAAACGTGTTGAACCGAGTTAACGCCATTTTACTTTCTAGGAACCGATTTATTATACTCAATTTTAAAATATGCACTCGAAGATCAAATTGAAGTCAACAAACATTAAAATCAAATCGGTAATTGATTTGTGACAAATTGTTCTAAGAGGTATCCTCTTAATTCTTACATGTGATACGTTACGTAATCAACAAAGCGAACTTACGAAAACACTTACTGTTAATAAATGACTACATACACATCACGCCTACTTCTTCGGAATCGGTTGATTATACTGGTAAAAGTGCCAAACTTACGTAGAAAGTATGTATAAAACTAAACTATGTTGTATTTCATGAAACGATTTCTATGACTACTATGATTAAGAAGCTAAAACAACGTGTATGCACTACTTTAAACGAAAATGATTTGCTTTGCTCCTAAAAGCCGGTCAAAATCATCTGGTGAAATAGTTTAGTATAATTTATGACATCAGTTACTACTACTTGGTTAACACACTAAATACAGTTTAACAAAGCAACGACGACTATAATAGCTTGGCAATAATAATCCTTATAATAGTGTCTAGATGGATGTTTAAATATTCATTGGGAAATGAGTTTGCTGATGCCTTGGTAAAAACAAGAAATCAAGTTTGAAACTTTTGTTTATAGCCTATGAACATGAATCACGTCCATGTGAAATTGTAAGGATACTAGTTTGCGAGGTTCAGGGAATTAAAAAGACTTCGTTATGTATGATTCTAATCTCTATATTCGTGATTGTTTGTCAGTTAGTTTGTGACAAAATTACAGTTACAACCAACGTCAAACAGATTAACAATTTTTTATTCTTGATTAGAAGAGACGTAACTACAAGTGGAAATGTTCATACATTTACAGAAAATAGGAAAGCTTTCTGGTAAGACTTTTGAATAACACTTGGAAGTCAAGGAGGAAAGTAATAGTAGTCACAAGCAAGATCCTGTTCAGTATGGCTAAGAATATCAGGGAGCAATTAGGGTCTAAGCAAAAAATCACAATTGGACTTTAAAAAACATAAAGTGAAAAGAAAATAGGTTTTATTTTTTTCGTGAGGGCTTAACTCGAGGTAACGTTAACTTAACACATCCTGGGAAATTACGCGATACTTCTTCATCTTTCATTGCACGTATTAATTCTCGTTCTCTGTTGTTTGTGGATTTGTCCGATGTAAACTGAAACAACGCCATTTTCGATGCTAATTTTAGGCAAATAGAAGAAATAAAAAAAATTCTATACTAGTCATAAACACGAAACCATAATAAATGTCAGTCAGCCACCCAACTAATTGAAATTTATCAAATCATTTTGCTTTGTAGCAGCTTAATTTCACGTATCATTAGACATTTAACTGAACCCCTGGCGAATGTACATTTTCATTTTGCTTGTCCGTGAACAGAGCGATTAGACACGTTGATCCCGCTGACTACGCCGTGCGTGATGTAATTGCTGTCTCGAGTTTTGCTAATTATATGAAATACATTGTCCTATAAACCTTTGTAGTTGGCTTCTGATTTTACAATTCCTGACAGAAGTTGAATCAGTATTGTCTAGAACATCTGATGTTACGGAGCACCTCCAAATAGTAGCAATTTGGAGCGCAATTAGTTAAAAGATTCCTCAATCACTTCGATAAATTATAAGTCATCATACAAGCATGCTGTTAATAAGCTACCAACAGAGGCTATTCTAATTTTTTCTTTACGCGAAAACGATGCTCAGTAAACGAGCTTTTGCAGATGCCATTATGAAATTGCTGACATTACATGAAGTATTACGTTGTATCAACTGAGAAGCACACTAGATAAAATAATAGTTAACACACAGTAGCGTTTACATATTAAGTAATAAGTAGAAAATAATTTGCACGGTTTAAACAGTATATACTTTAATCATTGCATCAAATTAACATCAAAGTCCAAGAATATCATGGACTCCATGATGGATATACCAAGCTGTACAGAACAGAAATTACCTAAGACTTTTGTAAACCAGTAACAGTAATGGAAAACGAAATAAAATTACGCTAGAGAATATGTGGAGTATAATTTTGAAAATATTTTAGCGCAATAAGAGAAGACAGGCCGAAATTATTGGTCGAGGAGAATATGAAAATTTAATTCTTTAATCATTTTCAAGCTGGAAAAATGATTATTTTAGTTGAGGATTGATAACCATTCTAAATAACAGATAATGATGGCAAAATAATTTGTAAAACAGTAAACGGATATACAGATGTTGTTTATCATACCTTTTCCTCGCTTTGTAGTTCCTGGGTTCAGTTTTACTCTGAACTTATACTTTAATAGAACTGAATAAGGAGCACAGACTGGAATAGCATACAATAGTAAATCATCATCATTGGGCTGACCAGTCAATGAATTTAACAATGAAGTTAAATCATCTTTCGATTCAACTGGCATATCTTCGTCATCATCATTATCATTAGTTTTTACATCATTAACTTCTAAAGATTTTAAATCCTCTTCACTTTCATCTGATTTGACAGGATGATTGTCAATTTCACTGCTTGAATTACTGAATGATTCATTGTTATCACAGTCAGGTTGATTATTTTGTATACTATCTGAATTGTGAACAACTTGAGTATCCCGTACAGATTGTGGGATTTTAATTAAATTTGACAAGTGATCACGTTCAAGAATTTGGTGATACTGACTTGGTTTGGCGTCATCTCCCTATGATAAATATAATGAAGTTATCATTACTATAACTAATAACAAGAAGATTAAAGAGTTTAAAATTTATACTGATTTACAAGAAAATTTTGTAATGAATTAGAGGACTGCACTGACAAAACAGTATAGGACTTCACATAAAAGTACAGAAGTTCAAGATGCTGGCAATGGGTAGGGGTAAAATGAGAGAAAAACAAGACATACAACGAATAAATAAACTAGTCAGAATTTAAAAAAGTGAGTAATGAACACTCCCGTCCTGTAGTGGTGAATTTTGTGAGCCGCCACTGACCTTTCTTATTCTAAAGAACCTCAGTCGTAAAGTATACGTAATTGATTTGCTAGGTTCTATGTTCCTTATGATTGACAAACTAACGTGCGCGAATACCATGAGGTGATTTGACCACACTTTTTTTCAATCTACTTATATCAGTGGTTGTTAAACATGTGTAATACATATCATAGCCAGTACATTTGGCACAATGGTACATCAGTGACTGAGTTGGCTCATGTAACTAGAGCTCTAAATTTTGCTTCAACACTGCATATTCAGTTCAACTTATGGCATTGATGTTTGGAACATAGTTATGATCGAATACCTATAACTCTGCCGTCACATGTCTTTAATAAGGTAAATATTATACAACATTAAGGAAGAACGGATTACATTCCCATGTAATAAACTTATGTTTCCTGACAATACCAACAATTAATGTGTCAGCAGTTGCGAGTAATTTTTGTCTGTTATGGAGTTTAAGTGAAATCGAACAATCTATAACAAAACTGGTTGGGTACTCAGAATAACAGGGGAAAATAAATATTGGTGCAATAAATTATAATTTAGTGTTTCGAATAATGACTGTCAAGCTAATTTACAAATAGTACGACGAGGATGAATCGACATGAAAACAGCAGTAAAAGTGTTGAAGAAAATTGATTTGAAATGAATATTGTTAAGATATTTGCGAAAATATAAACAACAGGAGCATCTGGGATGTCACGTATGAGTGACGCTTTGACGGTGTAATTAATGAAATGCCTTAAAGGTTCTCATGATTTAGAATTTAATTTAATGTATTTGATGACCATAAATAAAAATAAAACCGTAGTTATGAATAAAGCATTCACAAGAGGTGCTAAAAACATGCCAGTGCTGTAATAAAAATACCGAATGATATTTAAGGAAGATTCTCATGAAAATCCTATGTAATATGATTTTTTTACCTGAAGTATTTTCATACGAAGATTTCTTTCCTCGTCATCTTGTTCGTTATATTTTTGTTTAATTTTTTTTAGCTTAGCTTTCTGACCACGTTTTAAAACCGGTTGACCAGTTGATGGTAGTAATGACTCATTGAGTCTCTTGTTTACTTCAATGGTTTCTTTATTTAAATTTGTTGTTTTCTTGGTTGGTTTCGATTTTTCAACCTTTTGACCTCTTGTCCTAACTTTTTTAAAAGGATTTTCTGATAAAATCTCCGATACATCAGGATCTTTATGTCTGAAGCAAAATATAATAATCAAGGTTATTTTTAAATACGGTTTAAAGAAAATAAAATTTTAAGAAGTAGTGACATGTAAAAAGATTTCAGTTCATTTATTAAAAAGTTTATGAGAATGAACTAATTTTCCAGTTACTAGCAACCTATCAGGAACTACATACATATTTATGTACCAGGTTATAAGTGTTAATCATGGGGTAATAGCAAATAATGTTGCAAATGAGCCAGACTACCCGCTTACCGAGAAAATTGACGGATTAATTCATGAAGGAATATTAGTGTTTAAGAGTTTTGTATATCGAGAACTATTTTTTAATGATTAAGTAGACAACTAAGTGAATCATGGATAGATTGACTATCAAAGAATACTACATGACCAAGTTGTGGCCGACATTAAATACATCACATACAAAGGGCAATCTAAAGAGACAAATTAAACGTAAGTAAAACGCTCAGATTCCACCACTACAAGACATCCAACCAGAAATTTCACATTGATCGAAAGAATACCACCATTGACCAATCTTCTACGTTAACCCAAACTACCATAGTCCTTGGTGCAACACTAATCAACTGTACAAGTCAATCCTTAAAGCGCTGGTACCCACTTAGTCAAATGAAAAACACATCTCAAACACTTTTAGTTTTCTTTCTCCAAGTCATTTCGGAGAGTTATCCATAAGCGTTTTTGCCCATTAAGAGTAGATTATGCATATACAGTAATTTGATATGAGAACTTATAATATGTCTCAAGGAAAAATTGAAGGTGGGAACAAAAGTTGAGAAATTTAAGATCAAACGCAACAATCAATATAAAGTATAATAACTTTAAATACCAAAAAAGATAAACACTGAAGATATTGTTAGTAACGAAATAAGCTTAGCTTGTAAGAATATAAGATTTGAACACCGTAACAGATTAGCGAAAACAGCCACACTCATTTTGAATACCTTGGGAGATCATTTGCTAAATCAAGTTGAAGAAAAGCATCAGGAAATGCTGTAGTTTCTTCATCATTCTGGATAGTTAATGATTCGAACTGATTAAGGGGCATTTCGTAAGACGGGGTGTCTATGATGATGATGCGACGCTCTCCTTCATGTTTAGCTATAGAGTCCTCATGTAACTGAAATCGTAAAACGTATGGAGAAAAGAATTACAATGAGTTGCAACAAAGCATAATTTATCTGGCCCATTTAAACTACTTTACAGTTATAAAGGATAAAACCACAGTGACTACAAACTTTTGATAGAGAATAGATGAACTGTGGCCAACAATGGAATCTAGGATGCACGTTTTGCCCTATTTGGAACTTGTTAACTGGGTGTACCTACCTGGATTCTAGAGTTGATGTTCACTTCAAGACTAGAATCCAGGACCATTCACATCAAAGGCCATCGCGTTATCCACTAAGCTACTGAGTCCATATAGTAATTCACATGTCCAGCAGGTATGAGTTTTAATTCGAGTTACCAACAGAACGCTAAATTCTCTGTATATGTATATAGGAATTGATGAGAATCATAGATGAAACGAAAACCTTCTTCATGAGTGTCGAAACGCCTCAAAAAATAAGATGGTTAAATTTATTGTCTTTCATGTATTGGATTAGTTTTATTCTAATTATGCTATTTTACGACGTAATAATTAGATTTATTATTATTCCTGACTCAAAACACCTTGATTTTATAAAAACAGCCATTTCACAAAGAAATAAACATATTCGTGTCGACTTCAATAGTGTCACTTTTGTGTTTCGTTTTTTGAACTATCGTTGCAACTTTAATGATAACAATACAAAAAACTTTCATGTTCAACCCTACTTATGGCTGAAAAGTTAAAGTCGTCTGTAAATCTAGTAGGCACCCTTCGAATAAAATGAATTCCTATTGTTCTACAAGTCTTTTTATTCGAGCTATTTTAAGTACAAAAACGTAAACTTTTACCTTAAACATAATTCCAAATCCATAGTCGAAGGGACATGGAGGTAAATAGTTTTTCTTCCCACGTATCATAAATGCACCAGATGTAAGGTATTCACCACTTGGAGCTGTTTTTGAAACTTGATCATGATGGACCCACCAAGCTCTTGTTAGAACATGACTTTGCCATGCAGAACTTAGTACTACCGCCATATTTCCAGCTTCTAACAAGGTTTTTGGAGGGGGTAATGGTAAACTGTGTTGATGCAATAAGTCTACACAAAAAAATTAGAAAAAGAATTTGATTAACTGTTTTAGTCAGTAGGAAGATACAGGTATACTAATGAAGTGTTATATGGTGATAATTAGTTTTATTGAGATAACCAATGAGCAACCTAGAAGTGTACTGACATGTGACTTCGAATGTTACGGAAATATATAGTTGAAAGTATACAAACTTTATGAAGTAAAGGAAATCACTATGGACGTACCTGTAAAGTCTATAATTATAAACTGGATATTATTTTATAATTATAATGTAGTAACCGTGTTTTACTTTAAAATTGTAAGTTAAAAATAATATAAATCATTTGCCGATTACATGTTTATGTACTCGGGTTAGGGCTATATAATAGATATGAGAATTAATGATGCTACCCGGCTAGCTGGAGCGAATTAGGTGGAGAGGAGTTTGAACTAGGTACCCATATGGTTGAAAGTCGATAAATTTAGTCACTAACCCACTATTCTACTTTAACTTACCCTGATGTTTTGAAGAATCTACCTCTTCAGATGTTAAATGTCGGGCCTTTATTATAACAGTGCTAGCACCATGTATATCTGCATGAACAAATATATCGCCCGGTTTTAAGTAACGTTTTACCAATACTTCATTTTGTTGTGAATCATGACCAGCAACAACCAAATAATTTTCTGAACTGATAAACCAGAAGAATTTTTCAAACCTTGTAAAACAAACAAAACTTTAGTGAAATATATGGATGCGTACCAAAAATATAATTATTTTCCCATAAATTGAAGTAAATAAAGAATGAAAATACCTATTAAGTTGTACTATACATCAAACTCTAAATTGCAGGATTGAATCAGCAGTCTAGGCACTTAATTATCAACTTCCTCCACTTAAACTTGGACAACTGTACTGGCATACCATACTTTTTAATTGGTGTTAAGTGAATGAATACACTTAGAATTTTTATGTGGGTCTCGAAGACACAGTATACTGATAAAAAGCGACCAAAATAAAGGTCGTGGATTAATTCGGTACAATAACCGTTCACTTTAACATACGATTATATTTTCACAAACTCAGTTATCAATTACTCCAGTATGCCATTACACTATATCGTTATTATTAATGGCTTTATTCAATATTATATTTTCGGTACAATATAGAATTCTCAGCATAAGGTATTCCAGAAAGTTTCTTTTGCAGAAGGAAAAAAAGTGAAAGAAACTGATAACTACGTACATATACACATAAGTTAAGTAGATAAACTACCTAAAATTAAATGAAATGTTTTTTAAGACGGTTTGAATCTGAATATTTTTTTAAAATTCGAAATATGTTTAGGAATACAAGTTATTGACTAGGTTAATTCTAACAACCTATTCGCCACATAGTATATTTGCCAGATAAGGTGTACGTCAATCTTGTCTTTATCTTTTCTCCACATTTTCAGAATGAGATTATTTGAGAAGGATCTGTTAAAGATGCTTGTGAATGGATAACACAGATCAGTACGCCTTTTAAAAAGGAGGTTTGGAATTCATGAAGTCCTAAACAATGGGAAGAGCTAAGTGACTGGAAGAATTTCCGGACATCAGTTTCAGTGAAAATCGAAACATAACTATTATTCGAACCTGTGGATATAGGAAGCATGAAATCAGATGAGTGACGTACAAAAACTTCTTTAAGTCATAAACATACCACTGGGTGTCGCTTCTAATGTGTCTTTCACCTGTAAGCTCTTTAGATAGTTTACACATACTTGAAGGGCTTTTACAAGATAGGAGTTTCCGAGTAAAAATTGAGTTCAGATGTCTAATCTCTAGGTTTATTAGACCATTTAGCTTCTGAACTTCTGCATTCTTTCTTTTACCCTCCGTAATCGTTTTAGTTGTGATGTAAGTCGATAGAAACTTACAAAAACAGTTTCAGTGGAACAGCAAATATCAAAACAGAATTCAAGATAAAAAACGATATTATCAACAGTATTTTTCAGTGAGTCATCTGTAAATAATCTCCAGTAAGTCGTACGAAACATGTTTTTCATATTTTTGATATTTTCTTCTGAGAAGTTCTTGTATTTGATTTTCGTCGTCTGATGTAAGAGTGAAATCTTTCCAAGCTTGCAGTATACTTTAGATAGAACATGAATTATACAATGATCAGAACTAGACAATGGAGAACGTTTGGGAGTCACATATGTTCCCACATCAATAATGAAAACCTAGTCTACATGGGCATCCAAACAAGTGGAAAAATCTATTAAATTTTGGTGACTTGGTGATGAAAGTTGCAATCACATAAATTGAAATCACATACGATGCAAAGTGAACCACTGAAGGTAGTAACAGAAAATTCAGTGAATTCCTTAACGAGAAACAGATAACCCGGATGATGCGCAGTCCGAAGTCACGTGGATGTTGATAACAAGTTTTAGACATCTTAAAGTGTAGCATACAAAAGTAGATCAACACCAGTTTAAGTTTACAAATCTAGCTGTTAATCAATCACTCAGTATTGGTATTTGTTCACTATTAGATCGACCAAATTATAATTATTGAAATGTATTAGCCCATCGCTGAAAAAATCTGTGTATAAAGCTCTATTTCTTTCATAAAATATAAATCTTTGCAGTTATAGGTTAGACTTTGTATTCCAATTAGTTGAAGGCGAAGTCAAAAGTATTGAGACCATAGTGTTGAAAAGTAGTTGCGATTACCCTTATGTTTACTGTTATGTTGGTATTTCGGATTGTGTAGCAAAGAGAGGGTAATAACACATATCCAAAACAGGATTTTAGAGCTGTGACAGGAACAAGTATGGGATAATTAAAAGCCTCAGTTAAAGGAGTCAACTTTAGGCTGAAGTTGGGTATGAAAAAGGAGTCATCTGTCGTTCATCGTTCATAATAGTCAGAGTTATAGAAGGCTCCTAAATTTAATTATCGTGTCATATAGAAGGATGTAACAGATAAGGCACAACTTTGTCCCATTATATCTTTGATCTCATACATGTCACTATTAACCATAACTGACTGTCGTTATAAAATAATTCATAGTGCATGTAATTAATATCAACTTGGAGCACCAAATGATTGTATTGAAAAGTGTCAGGTTCAGGGAGAACGAAACTAATCTTGATAATTAACTACGAACATCTCGAAAAAGACACTTCATTTGAGAAATATTAAGAACATTTTACAAAAATGCATAAAACGAACGTATCTGTAGACATTAAGGGGCAAAGCATTAACCTTAGTCATTGCATACAGATAAACATACCACATTGGTTTACGAACTTCTGTAATTTGTGCAACAGTTTTAGCGGTTTTCATTTTCATTTCAGCATTGTGTACGGCTGATTTCAAAACCTGTTAAAGACAGTTTAGATAAAGATACTTTACATCTATTAAAATAAGAAGTTATAATTGACTAATGGGTTGATTTGGGTACAGCGATCGTACAGAGTAATGCTTCGTAAACAAACTACAATTAACTCTTTAGTCTGTTGTACATACAGTCAGATGAATATCTGATTTTTTTTAAAAAATATTGACATGAATAGCTATTTCACCATATAATTAGAATGTATTTCTTTTTCAAGCTGCATTCAAATCTGAGGCAAATTAGACTCCATCTGGTCTAATTCTTATATTTACGCTAATGCAAATGGTTTGAGATATTAAAGTATATTTACCTAGAAATTCACGGTAAAACTGATGCCAAGCACAGTAACTAATGAATAAAATGTCAACGAATAATAAATATGGAAAAGATGACGAAATCAAAGTGAACTCAACTAATTAAATGAAGCCATTGTTTGGAATCATCATCAAAACTATTTGTTTTGAACAGATTTGTATTAGGTTTTGAGCTACATTATACGTGTGAAAGCTAATAACAATACGAAGTTGCTAAAAGCAGAGTATTTTAAATTAACGACCTAATGGTGATAAGCAAAGTACTTTAAAGACAAAGCCACAATGGCTAGTACCTTTACTATGATTGTGAGTAGTACCATTTATTTAATTACAAAATGATCGGAAACTTGGCATAAATATAAATCAATCTCAGTTGCTATATTTCAAAGGATCATAAGGAGAGGATATTAATAGATTGAAAAGCAATAAAAGCCGAATAATACTGATAGTAGCGGAAAATAAGTACAAGGAATACAGTTCACAAGTCAATAGAGAAAATAAGGAAATAAAGATAGAAAAGTACTAATCTAAAGATGTATAAGAGAATAAAAAATGAATACATCTGTGACATTAAGTCTGGTTATAATGCATACCCCAGCTACAGTTTAAAGTAATAGATTGCAAGACTATTATCAGCTGTTTACTAAATATCCCCCTTCATTCCTTAAAACCACTACTAAGGCTATGAAACTGAAAAGAAATATTTTTTCTCGACAACTACAAATGATAACTAACGCAAGGCATGATATCATTATACTCCTAGATTTAGTTCACATTTAACGTTGCACACTCGTGAACGATAAGATTAAAGGAGAAAACAATGGTAAAATTTTATTACTTTGCGCGAAACGCTGATAGTTTTTTCTTCTTTTTTACTAGCAGCTCGTTTCTTATCATAATATCTGGGAAAGGAAGAAATGTGGAAAGTATAAAAAAAATTGTGATAACATTCACTACTAAACGTATGAAAAATAGTAATATGTATGTTAAGTAACTTTATGAACTGATACTATGTATTTATTTGACTACTTTTTGCCTTCTTTCATCATTCCCCTACGTTAGTAACCACTGTTAATATTAAAAAGCCACAACTGAGCATGCGAAACTGTCCCACTAAATAACACTTTTGGAAAGTATAGGAAATGAACACTGTGTTTCACTACTTGTTTCAGATTAGGAGAGAAACTGCCTAATCATCAAAGAACTAGTTAACTTACTTTTGTGCATTGGTTAGAGCATTGACGTCTATATCTACAACTACTTCTGTATATTCATGTTTCTTGCCTGATTTCATTAAGGTTTCGTTAACATCGCTTGAACTTTCAAAAGGATCTCTGAAATAAATGAGATGAAATTTTTTGAGTATAAAAAGTTAGATACAAACAATCGAGAGGAACAAAATGCAATAATAAACTACTTTAAACGTATGACAGCCTGACTTGTTTGTAATTTTAACTCGACAATATGACAGGCAAGTGGATCATCACGTTGTTTTGCGTCTTCAACGATTAATGCTAATTCTTTCCAGTCTATTTGATTTGATAATGCATGATTGATCATGATAATAATATTGTCAACCTGAAGACAGAAATGAAATACAACTGCACTCAAAATCGGCATTACAATTATTTTAGAAATTGAAGTGATATACAGCTAATTAGTTTTGCTTTGAATTTACTTAGTATTGTGTGAATTTTCATGTATAATGCAGAACCAACTTAAGTAGGCGGAAAACAATTCCTACTATGTTATGTTGTGAGTAGGATGTACAAAACTTTGACATGAAGCTGTAGCCTGTAGTATTTAAACCAAACTAAATGAGAAAAACACGTTGATTACGCTGGAAGACTGACACCATAAATCCTTCAAAGTTGAAAAAATTTAAACTACTGTTCAGTACCTCTGTGGTCCTATGGGAAAGTCCTGGTGATAAGATCAGAGGCTTCACACTTGGTATAGGAGTTTATTGAGGATGGTACAATACTCAGGAGCTTTGAAACGTAGGTAGAAAAGTAGTTAATATCTTCTTAATTATAACAGATGATTAATTAATGAATACAGACTTAAAATTAACGAGTTTTAAAAAGTTAGCAAGCTGAATATGAACCAGGTATTTGTTGCTTCGCTTGCTAATCAAGTAAAAATATTATTTTCTAAAATAAAGATGAGCTTTAAAAGCAAAAGAAGAAACTTACAAGCCGACGATTAGCTTCAAGCAGGTAAGCCTTTTGCATATCTAACTCCTGAATAAGAAAGAAAAACGGGATACGAGATAAAGGTTATTAAAGGAACAGGCTATAGTGAACAATTCAAGCAGAGTGGACACAATAAGGTTGTCATATGAAACTCAAAGTGGCAGCTGGTAATGAGACGACTAGAATAACCTCTCACCATATATGTATGGTATAGTCATGCCGAACAACCGTAGAAATAAAAGTTTTGTAGTTACAGTAAACCATGTTAGTTTCAAAATTCATCGTAGTCGGAATTAACATCACCAGAGTTTATGACGAACGATTGGTATACAGACGGGGTCCTTTAACTAGAGAATAATCTCACATACCTTTTAATGCCTTTTATCCATTAAACTATTAAGTATGCGGAATAACAGTTGCATCAGAATTCAATTTGCAACGGTGAAAAACAAAACACTAATACATTTGTAAGCATTGAAATTGTAACTAGATGAAGAAAACCTTTTTGTTCTGGGAACATATCGATGGTCAGGATTGCTTGATAAATCCATGAAATAATAATAATGACAATAATCATTATAATAATTATTATTATATCATCCGTAATGTTTTTTATGTAAATGGCTTATCCACAATAGTATATTTCTGAAGGCGAGTTAACGAATCATTATACGGAGGGAATTACTGATTTTTTATGGAAAATCAATCTATCCTATTACAACTTACAAATTTCAACCCAGTATGGATATCAAACTACAGTGAAAGTACTGATAAACCTGCAGTCTATTAGTCTCATAATTTAAATTTCAACTTACTTGTTCAGTTTTTAGTAACATTAAACGCCGTTCCTGATCTTTTTTAATATTTTCAACTTTTCTACTAGCCTTTTGTTCCTAAAAATAAAAAGGCTAGCAGTTAGGCAGCGGGAGTAATGCATTACAAGCAATAATGGGTCAATTAATAGAAGAAAACAGAATATTTTTGTGGAGATATACACCAAATATTGAAGAAGTGTAAGGAAATGTTGTCGAATATAATTTGTTCTTTGGACAATATTTTGGAATTACGTTCTACTTCCAACTTTCATGTCCGAAAAGAAAATGAAATAAATTAATTGGTGCTAGATCACACAGTGCCTATATATATATATATATATATATATATATATATATATATATATATATATATATATATATATATATATATATATATATATATATATATATCATTTGCTTATCATTCATGAGTTGTCCTTTGTATACTCCATCATTCTTCCAATCCTGTTGTTATTCCGATTGCTCTCTTGTTTTCCTTCCTCTTCTCTTTATTTCATCCTTCTGCTGGTAAGCCTTCCATTTTCAATTCCAGTTACCTGCTACTCATATCTGTTCATGTTAGTAGCGCACACCACAATATTAGTATCACATACATATATTTGCCAGATATACCTTTCTGGTAGGTCCCAACAAATTCGACACATCAGTCCAGGACATCTTACTGATTGTATCTACCTATCTATCATTATAGGATTTTTATAAAATTGAGAGGAAGAAGAGCGAATGTCCGGCGCTTTAACCGGGTTAGTGAACACGGAGGATCCACTTAGGGGAGTTGGAAAACCCTGATTCGAAACCAATGGTGCACATCGGTTCCATTATCCTTAAGGGAAAAACGGCGTACGAACCAGTTGTTGGTCACCAGCTCCATGGGACTGCATCTCCTAACGTTGCTCCACATCCTTGCGGACTAGACCTACAAATCAAAGGCTCGGGAGTGGCCTCTAAGAAAACCATCTGCTTCGGTTTCGGCACCCTGGCAATATTCCAGCCCTCACAAAAATCAAATGATTTGTGTGGCGCATATATATATGGTGATTCGTACCAATGTTTATGTGTTCAAATAAACAAATAACCGATGGTATAAGATATAAAACTTGTTAATACTGTAGGCCCGGATGAGAGTCAAAGAAATAATGGAGACAAGATCACGGTATATATATATATATATATATATAGAGAGAGAGAGAGAGAGAGGAAATGAAGAACTCCGTGAAGCAAAATAAAAACTTACATTTCGTGAAATTTGTTCTAATGTTTTCTGACTTTCAATTTTTGAAAAGTATGCGTCCACTGCCTATGCAAATTTTTAGTAACAAGCAGAAAATAAAACTATCAGCTTTTAGTTTCTCATACATTTAAATGTTGATATGAATGCATTGTACGCATCATTTATATAAACAAGAACTAAACTTATTGGCTTATATGTGGATCATAAGCACTGTCGAACCTGGTATACACGTGGATTAGTTTAAGTTGCTTGTGTGTAGCTGAGAACAAAGCAGCGAGATATAATGAATTCATCGTATCTTTCAAACATTGTTATTTGCGCTTTAAATTTACAAGGCATTTAGATAATAATACTTCCTACACAAACAAACCTAACAGACATATTATACATCCTTGATGATGATCAGATATATTGTCACACAACAAAATGAACACAAGACAATTCACTGAAGTGAAAAATTCACATTAGGAATTCTCAGCTCACCTTATTGAAACTATCAAATACTAAGTGAGGTTTATCTCGATATTGTTCGAATATGAATGGGTGAAATTCTTCATAACTGAAATAAATAAAAGATCTTTGAACAAATAAAGAAAAGCTTAACTGAATGACATTATTATCATCAAATGGATACATGAGACCGAGTCTATTTTGGTACCACTTAAAAACCGAGTACAGATCCACGTAGTAGGTTGTTACTTAGATACCCCAATAAAAGTGAAGGAACATGAACCTGTTGTGTCTATTAAATGTTTGACTGACCCCCAAATCCATAGACATTTAGTGAGAGAACAAAGAGTGGTAATAAGGATTTATTTGACTCCCGGGATAAATCACAAAGATATATGAATAAACTACTCTTTATATGATTTATTTAGTCAGATTAACAATCAGATCTGTATAATTTGACTGAGTAGTACTTAACATCAATTATTCAATAACTTACTATGAGGACACATATTTGTAATATTATGCTGATCGATTTTCACATGGACTTGATTTTACTCGCTTGATCTTGTCATAAAACAAATAGGTTTAACTGAAAGTGTTGGAATGGAAATCAATTATTTCCCCTTCGTAAGTAGTATGTAAACTCCAAACGGTGTTTGAATTTTGGTGGTTGGCATCCTCTTGTAACTGCGCTCATCCGATTGTCATAACTGAAAGTTAAAGCTGGACGTCTACAATCTGTCACCAATCCTTAAGATACTTTATTACCAATATGACCATATGAGTTGAGAGTAACAAAACATTTAGCGCTGATAATGTGACCATTCAATTAATAAACACCTTTGAATAGTACACAGAGGGTCCTTGTAATGTGGTCATAAATAGTATGAATACTTGCAAACTGATCATTAATAAAATGAACACTGTTAGCACAATCACTAGTAACATGAGTACTTGTTACATTAGCACTAACATAATGAATATTTGACTGACCAAGCTCCCGATGAGGTTTACACTAAACGAATGTGACATCAAAAATAGTTTCCAATTGCCATTTAATAATTTGATCCCATATGAAGTAAAGCGAGATTATAAACCCGAGGTTAGGGTTACTGAAAGTCAATTCCCGGACGGGTTACCAGTATATGAAACTGCTGACAGTAGTGGCCTACCTGGGTAGTTGGTGCCGACATAAGAAGAGTTAGTAACATGGTTTACCAAAAAAATGTCTGACGCAACACATGAATCATATGCGGTCTAGAAAGCTTACACCAGTTAAGAAATACCCTAGGCCCAAACATTGGACTATCTTGTTGATACGATCTATCGGGAACAACCAAGCCGAAGCATCAGAAACAATAACCGGACCTAGAAAATACCATAAAGAGTCTCCATCCCTAATACCTTCAGTTGAGTCAGAGAAGTCGGATCGATTTTCAGGAAAGGAACGTAAGATGAAAGCATCAACACAGAAAAATCAAGTTCATGTGGAAATCGATCAGTATAATATTACAAATATGTGTCCTCATAGTAAGTTATTGAATAATTGATGTTAAGTACTACTCAGTCAAATTATACAGATCTGATTGTTAATCTGACTAAATAAATCATATAAAGAGTAGTTTATTCATATATCTTTGTGATTTATCCCGGGGGTCAAATAAATCCTTATTACCACTCTTTGTTCATAATATTCTAGATATAACAAGCACATTATTGACACCTTATCTTATATAACTTCCATAGGGCTAGTTATATAGGCCGTACTTAAAAAGCCTTATCCTTGCACGTTCATGTGTCTACATACTAGTGTAAGCAAGATACCCGTTTGTCAAATAAGAAGGGTATAACGTTCAGTGGTCCATTCAGTATTACTCTATGAGAGTGGAAAGGGCTGTGAAAGTAGATGTGCACAGGATGTACTTTTTTTTACCACAGTTTTCTTTAAAGTATTTGTCAGAACGACTGAATGAGAAATGATCTAGGTAGGTAAAGAGTAATTAGGAAAGATTGCAAATTGGTCAACAAGGCTGCGAGTCAGAATTCGCTAAGGTGGTTAGGATATATATGTTACACAAGCTCAACTACCGCCCATCTCATGTGCACAAATAGCTGCAGTAGTAGTAAGTCGGAAGATGTACTTCACATACAAACAGTCAAAAATCTTAGTATTATTCACAACCAAAATTCAAATGAGATTAGAGCTCTTTGAAAAAATTAAACAACAACCCTTTTGGACATGATGATAACAAAGAAAAGAATCTGCTCTAGACATACGAATATTCGAAAATAGAGCCCCAAGAAGACCCGATAAACACTAGTTGGTTATGTAGTATTAGTACGCAACGAATAACTAAAAACCTTCAAAACATCTTACGTTCGCAAACCTTCGTCCGAAGATTGATAGGATTTCCCAAATATATAACCATGTGGAGTCGTTTGACGGTTACATAAGAATGGTTCTAGTAAAATATCTCTCAAAGCCACAGCGAAGTGTTTGACATACAACTCCATCAAGTCCTCTTTTTCGGATTGTAGCTGGAAATCTTCTTTATGATGCTTCATCTGTTTGACTTTGTTTTCGGCTATACGCATGCAGTGTTCTATGATGACGCTGCCATAAGCTAAATCCGGAGATGAATAAATTGGCATTTACTTACGTAATTCCAAAGATAACCTTTTGTTTATGGAAGGGTCGTCACATGATTTTGTATTGGAAGTCCAAGGTCCCTTAGATGATTGGAATAATGGAGTGAGGAAATTCTCAATATCCTTTAAAGATTTTTGGTCTTTTAATTCGCGAAAACATTCCAGGATCTGACGACAGGAAGTTATAGGATACTTCTCGTGGGCTGCAAATCGAATATTCTGATTTTTATCAGTTCGGGGACGCAGCAAGTGAAGGATCGTAAATGAGTCATCAGTAAGAAGCATATTCCCCTATAAAGTTACGAAGTATTTCATGAGAATAATTGGGAGATAAACTTTACAGAAAACGACCGGGTGAGTAGTGGAAAATTGCAAAACTAAAGTTTTTAAGATATTCAGCATGAGACCAGAATAATATGGGCGAATACGTATATGTAATGAAATCCGGTGTGTTTCGGTAAACGGACTAGATCAATGTTACGGAGGGGAGCTTTATAGTTTGATGAGACGAATCTTCAGCTGTTGAAATGAAAAAACAAAATGCAATGATACGGTATGGTCGAGTGATGGCTGTTCATGAGATCGTATTATTCGGGCAATCCTCCAAATGCTTTAATTTGAAATACAAGATCACCAACTAGAATAATGAGCTTATAGGTAATAAAATGACGTGCTTATATATAAGACATTGAGAACAAACGGCATAAGGGCGAACGATCGTTTTCGATAAGTTCTGCATCAGGCTTTGGAGTCGAAGATCTAGAATTATTATTGTGTCACAATAGATAGTATTAAAGTTGAATTAATTGATGTTATAAGTCGGGAATGGCAAACTTCGAGTCGATTGAGCTTTAACTGCTACAAAACATTAACGCGAAATAGGAATGATACATCAGGCGATTGAAGTTAGTTTGTGTACCATTAACTCTCGAATCAATTAAGGAATGTTAGTTAAGTTTAATTCTTGGGCACTATTAATTACAGGTCCAGTCGAATGGAGACAACATAGAACCTGGCACGTTCACATTGATTCAAGTTACCATACCCCTATTAGCATGATGAGATGAAATAATCAAGATGAATTTAAGAGTAGTAGAGGTGGTAACAGTATTGGTGGTAATACGAGACAATAGACAAGATACAGAGGTAGGGCCTTTGAGAGCACAAGGCTAACACATTACCAACTTATTGCAGAAAGGTCATATGTCACGAGCCTTAAGCTTGTATCTTCTAGGTGCTTCAGACACATTTTCAGATAGTTACGAACACTACCAATCCAGTTTCCTTTTTAGGTCCGCTGAGAAGAAATATCCTCTCGTGTTGTGAGGAGCCAGGAATTGATAGCAGCTCTACTGTCCGACAGAACTCGACATCCGCTTGTTTACGATAAAATCTCTTCGTCACTTCTGAGCAACAGTTTCAAATTAATGGCTAGGTCGACAAATGACCCATTGGTGCATTATCGACAGTTTGAATAACTTACCAAGGTGTTAGTCAGTCAGTGATACAAATACCATCCAAACAGTGACTATAAAGAAAACGTTTGTTCGGAAAACTACATTACAAGCATTTAGAAAAAGACTAAGCTTTAAATACATATTCTTCTGTAGCTTGACGGACTATTGAATAGTTTTGGATGGAATACTATCATGATTGAGATAACCTTACTAACGAATTTAGGAAAGGTCGCTAAGATTTATGAGATACTTGAGTAAACGATTTGAGTTACCAGTACAATAATTTCGTGTAACTCATTAGCAGCCAACGTGACCTTTAATGGTCAATGTCCATTGGCGCATAATCGGATCAGAAGAAAGCTATGTTCAATCAAATTAAGTTGCAGCAACAGTCCATGCAGTTATTAAATATTAGTCGAAAAGAATCAAGAGGTGCAGACTACTAGTTGAGATCTTGAGGGACAATCAAGACCTTTGATTGAAGGTAATTCGTGACATCGTTTAAAATCAGTTGCGAAGGAGCAGGCGAAACAAACCTTGGTAAAATCTTCCAATTTCTAGCTTCAATATTACTTAAGTTTATATTCTTCTTTCTCTTGGAGGCATATTTTTCGAAGACTGGTTGATTTTTACAACGACACTACTATTGTTTTAATTTTTTCAATGTATTATTCCGTTTCCTCTTTTTATACTGACTTAGTGTGGGAGCTTATGCCGTTGAACTGTGTCAAATTCTATAGAGGTCATCAATAAAACAAGTTATTGAGTGCTATTACAGAATTGGTCTGGGTATTAAGGTCCACGTCCATTCCCATCAAATCAGTTAACAAACTTAAATCGTGTAAGATGTGGGGTTGCTGTATGAATTCATGTATACTGCATCATGACGGATCATAATATACTTCAGGAAATTGACTCTAACAAAAAACGTGGAATGTCACTGCTACACGATCACCTACGGTTAGACCTAGTACAATTCAAATAGCTATGAGGATGTCTGGGAAATAAGAAGTTTTACGTATTTGTTGATTTTGTATCAAAAACTTAAACTGACCGTATTGTCAGTAAACAAGTGTGAAGTGATGTCACAAGGATACTTGCGAGGAAGCCTACACTCAAACTACACTTACCCGATCGTACAACTCCACAATTAAATGATAAGCAGACGACTCATAACCAATCTGGATATCAACAACGCGATCGGCTCCGACTTGGGAGATATCAACGATCTTCTTGTTTCGTATGTGTTTACGCAGCTGTAATTAAAAGCATTTAAGATAAGAATAATTAAAGACCATTCAATTCGTACAATTGATTTTTACACAGGATATGCATTAATGTTAATAAGTGAGTTAATTAACACACCTTCATGGAAAATCCTGACGGCATGATATTTTTAGGCCAGTCAAAATCAGTAATATGTAAGCGTGAGCCAGATTCTAAAAGCAATATCGCCTTGTCGTCAGACTTCGTGCTGAAGGAAAAACATAACTTAAAAATGAATAATTACCTAGCAAGTTTTAAAAGATATGTTTTATTGTCCACATCGTATATATTATTGACCCTGTAACCCAGTATTCTTAACCATGAGATTTTTTATTCTGAATAAACTTACTGATTTTTTATTTCTGAAACAGATACCATTACGTCAAATGTCGTGTACAAAAGCTTCATTCTCGCACATATGTAACGCAACAATTCCTTTATGTCAACGTTTATTCACATTTGTCCTTGAACAGTTTCAGATTTTCAGAGTCAAATTTGTGTAGTAGGGACAGCAGACCTACGATCCAAGTTGGTCTTTTCTAGCACGTTTCTGTGAGAGTTTGCCCTTCTCTCCAATGAATAAAATGAAAGTGCGGACACCAATGAGTCGGATATCGTAGCGTGACACAGCTACCAAAATTTGATGACTCTGTGTGAAGACCTGTGTGCCATGTATATTTTGTCCGTTCATGACCTTTTCTTGTATTTTTAAGAAATAATGATTCCTTTGTACTTGATTACAACTTGATTACGAATACGATACGATCATTCCTGCTGAATATAATTTGCTAGCTCATGGCTTTTCTACTCACCTGCTATATACTCTGAGTTGTCCAGATTTGAAAAGAAGGAATTGAGAGGATATATCAATTCCAAAATCACCTCTTATGAATTCATAGGTCAAAATTAGATCATCACTCAATCTTTGGTAGAACAGATGAAATAGGTCTAACTATTCAAACCGCTCGTTGTATGGCAAACCCCGGAGTTCTGGAACTGCACGGGTTGCTGCTCTCTGTACTTTTTCCAGAATATCCAAGTCATCTTTTAAACAGTGAATTGCACCCTAAAGGCAGTCTTCAGGTTTGGTTCTCACTAAGGTTGTGCATACGTTATTATCTAGCTTGGTGAATGTCCGTCTTGAAGTATGTACGGTTCTCAACCCTATAGCTGCAACCTCACGGTAGTTGATCATGGTCTTAAGACCATGACTCACTGTCTGCACAAGGTCGTTGTGAAACCGAACCATGGGTACAGACTTTTTCCCTATGTGGTACTTAGTTACATTCGTTCAAATGGTTCAAATGGTTGTGGACGGAATAGAGGAAGCTTTCGCTTAACAGGCTTCCGTGTCTAGTAGCAGGGGATCACCAAATCCTCCAAGCAGGAACCTAGGTATGTAAACAATAAAAGAGGAAAAGAAATTGGTAAATCATAGTGTGATGCTGTCCTTGGTTCTCAAGAATAGGTCAAGTTGCCTCTTGAAGGACTCCTGAGAAGTCGCTTGGACTAGCTCGGCTCGTATCCCCAATGTGCATGCAGACTCACTGGGCTGCGTTGATAGGTACCAGCCACTTTATTTAGACCAGCTAACCACAATATTTAATTCTGCCTCAAGTGCACATGTACCTGTGTCTCGATTTTATTTCTCGCCAAATGTTTACTTCATCAGCGTTTTAGGAAACAATTTCCTACAGGTGTAATTCCAAGCTATACTCCCGACTGTCAATCACAGAGTCTTGGTTTAGCCAAAGTCAAGACAAGTAAGCAAAATGGCTCGACAAAATTTATTTGCTCCTAAAACATAAATAAATACCGTAAGTATTCAAAATAAACGGTACAGTTCATTAAACATAATTTACATATCAAACAGTAACTAGAGTTTAGTAAAGATGCCACAGGTATTTGGAGTTTGACAGCGCTCTAACTAGTAACACCTGTGAATCAAACACACCAAGTGAAATCAAAAGGCAGAAGCGAAGAGGTTCGAAGACGTATTTGATAGGCCATCAATATATCGAAGAGTGACTGATCCAGGCTGGCTAGCGTTTGCAGGGGATGTTGAGCACGGCGTTCGCACTCGTAATCTGGTGCGGTTGGCTGCAATTAAACGCAACTCAATTTCGTAAACGTGCCCTTCAGCTTAGCAACCAATCAGAATGAGGCGGGAATTATTACATCCGCCATCTTTGTAAGCAATGGCGGTCGGTCGTTCTGTGCATCTTCCAGCTATTTCTTTTGTGAAGTTATGTAATCTAATGTCTCAGTGTGCTAAAATGCCGCAGTTAGTGTAATGTTCTTTATGTTGGTGTGAAGCTTATTTCGAATCAGCGATGTTTTCTGGGTTTTTGCTGCTTCTACTCAAGTCAATGTATTTCTTCAGGCAATCTGGCTAGTCTTGTGTTATAAAATGTCGGCCTGCTTTCTTCGTTCTGTGGTTTTTCCGCTATTTCTTTTGTGTAGCTACAGAATTTAATGCTTCAGTGTGCTAAAATCCAAAAGTTAATAATAATATATATTTCTGCATTTGCAGGTACACACCGTTTTTACAGGCATGATCTATAAATTACAACATTTGTTGGTTCGCAAAATGCTTCCCAACTTATTAATTTTATAGTTGTTATAAAGTGAAATCGTAGAGCGCTTGCTGTAAACTATGACCTTGAAAGGACGCGTACGTCAAGTTTTTTCCAAACGTCAGGAGTTTCATAGCTGTGCTCTCAGAGCAAGATTCTGAAGGAGAAAAGAAAGAGAAACAGAAGAGCAGCAATGCACTTGGATATGAACGCCAAAGGTTGCTTAACATTATGTAGTAGAACGGACAGAGGTATAATAAATTAGAATAAATTCATATAATGTCTTGTTAGAGTGAAGTGAAGTCCGAGGCTCCATATTAGAGAATGTAATAATAAAGAACAATGAGTTGTGATGTTTAACAAGTTGGA